CAACTGTTCCGTTAATTTTCTGTTACATGACAAACAAACTCTGTGTGTGCTTTATGCGCATTATTTTATTCCATTCTGTCTTTTACATAACAAATTATTGAAAGAAACATTGGCATTACTCCCTTGCAATTGTGTTGTTTACAGTGTTGTTCCAATGCATTTGTGGCTTCACTTTCTGTTTGGACACGTAATTATTTCAGCAATCATGATGATCCTTCGCTGCCTATTGCTCCTGACTGTCTATTGCTTGCTGTCCACCCCGGGAACAGGAGCAAATACTATATCACAGTCTAATGACGTCATCATCTCATCTCCTTATGACGTCAGACAACCGCACATCGGGCCAGATGACCACAGCAGAATGCCTTTTCATCGAGTCATCCGAAGTCCTAAAGGATTTCTACCCAGAAAAGGATTAAAGACATTCAAGACTCAAAACATTCAAAACACTCCAGGAACTTCACTAAACAAGAAAGTAACTGATGCAAGCAAGCTGTTTCTATCCAAATTCCGAAACAGCGCCAACAAAGTAAAGGTTCAGAACAAATTGTCCAGCCTATTCAGATCCGTTTCAAAAGGGTCAGTTTCAGCAAGAAAGTCTCTGACATCGTTACTGCCAGGCCTACTGGGTTTGGGCACCTCTGGCGCTGGCCTTGCAACTGCCATTACCCAGTTACTGGCCGTTACGAGAAACCAACACAAACTAGAGCTCCCCAGCGTGTCTCCCCTTCAGCCTGGCGAGATACAGTCTCTGATGCAAGATTTAGTTGGTTCTGGCGCTGGTGTCAAGAGGAATGATATCATCGTGTCTGCTGTATGTGTACTACTGTGCGCAATGGTTTATCGTGGCTAAATATGGATCACAAATATGATTTGGGATACCTTTTTCTATCGTGAAACATATTTGACTGCAAATTCTTTTATGTGGGTTGAGAAAGCGTGAGGTCATGATTGTAATACAAATGAAAAAATCTCAAAACAAACCACATCTATTATCTACATATACCATATTTTCTTTCGTAAAACCTATGTTCCTGGAAATTCTTGTATGTGGGTTGAGAAAACGGGAAGTAATTATTATAATATAAATGAAGAAAATCTATTAAAAACACATCTATTATCGACATGTACATTTATAATGTTAGATTTAAAGACATATCAGTGATCATGGAGGCGTATATATCGCTATGGTTAGTAGAGTTAGGCTTCCATAGGGACTTCGGGTAAGAACAAGTCACCAATATCTCACACAGATCGTATAATGGAATCGGGTGGAGAGATTATTCATGGGGTGTCTGAGATTATTCATGGGAGCGGTGGGGTAGCCTAGTCGTTTAAGCGTCCGCTCGTCACGCCGAAGACCCGGGTTCGATTCCCCACATGGGTACAATGTGTAAAGCCCATTTCTGGTGTCCCCCATCGTGATATTGCTGGAATATTACTAAAATATTACTCACTGACTGACTCACTGACTGACTCACTCACTGACTCACTGACTCACTGACTCACTCACTCACTCACTCACTCACTCACTCACTCACTCACTCACTCACTCACTCAATCAATCAATCACTCACTCAATCACTCACTCACTCCATATCAGTATTCTTTGTTTGCGTGCGGCATGTCCGTAATCTTGGGTTCTTCCAAAGTGGTAAATTTGTAAAACCTTTATCGTCGGTTGGGCTGTTTCTCACAACTTTTTTAGCACCTTTATTACGTCATGGCTTCTAGTTTTCACAACCCTCTTCAACACCACGTGGATGGGAGTTTCACCCCAGACGCAGTGAAACCCTGATAAAATTGGCGTGACGTTTACATTTTGCTCTTGTTTTTAAGAGGTTTTTATTTTTATTTCTATTTTATTTACTTTTTACTTTTTGAAGCCCAAAGGAATCGTTTTGGGTCATGTTTTAAAGATGACACTGGTTGTTTTCTGGTTTACATTCACATTTACAATATATATTCGTAACTTTATAGTTAGATGTCTTTGATAACGGTTTTTCTTGCGTTGTACGCATAATGTCACATTATGACACGATAACATTTTTCATAATTTGATTAATCAAAGCATACAGTAATGGCAATTAACACATTTTCATGTTTAGATTGGTACTCCAAGTACTAACCCTCAACATTATCATATAATTGTTTCCGCTAAAAGACACATTATATTTGCACATTGAAAAAAAAAATTCGAAATTAAAAATTTGTACAAAGATTTTAAAAGATATATTCATAATTGAAAAATGTATATCAAAAAGAAACAATGATTTTGTTGGTTTCCTTTATTCCCAATATTTGATCCAAAATGATTTTCTCTTACTTTGAAATGTGATATGTAATACACATGTATATAAATATCAATGTTGTATCTGATGTGTATGTCATGCTTGTATATTTGGAAACAATAAAAAATGCTTTAAAAAAATAAAAACAACATTTTGTCATATTTTATGTTTAATTCGTTAGAATGGTATACTGTATGTCATTTTAATTAGTTCGACTTTTGTATGCACTTATGTTGCCCCAAAATATACCAAATGCCCATGGGTGTGCATGGATGTATGGAGCGGGATCCAAAGTTTAGAGGCAGCCCACGAAGATTTTGATGTTGAGCACACTGCCCTCAGTATGCCTGGCGTGTCTGGGGTGGATCTCCTCATTACTGAGCTCAGTGAATGAGTATGGTTTTACGCCGTTTTCAGCAATTTTCCAGCAATATCACGGTGGTGGACAAGCGCAGCAGACCCCGGGAGCCAGGCTGGAAGAATCTTAGTGCCACACCAATCAAGCCTAGCTGTGACAGCGTACGAGTGAGTGAGTGAATGAGTGAGTCGTTACTTTTAACAATATTCCAGCAATATCACGGCGGGGGACACCATAAATGGGCTTCACAATTATATGCACGGAAATGGGCTTCAAAATTGTACGCATATGGGGAATCGAACGCGAGTGTTTGGCGTGGCGAGTGAACGCTTTACGGACTAGGCTACCCCACCGCCCCCAGCGTACGAGAGATACGAGTGTTAACAAGTAGACCCAGGATCCGACAAGATGTCTTCTTATTTGTATGCAAAGCCGTACCCTCTTGTTGTGTTATTGGGCGATCATTGCACGCATGGCGTGTTTATATATTAGGTTTCTTGTGAGATTTGTTTGGATGATGTTTTACATCCTCTTTAATATGATTAATAAATACAGCTCAACGCGTGGTTGTTGTGTTGGACAATCGGAACCGCCCCTACTGACTCACGATCCCTCGAATCGGTAACATGGGGTTTAACGTGGCGTTCAAGAGTATTGCAATAATATATCGACGTTTCTCTCTCTCTCTCTCTCTCTCTCTCTCTCTCTCTCTCTCTCTCTCTCTCTCTCTCTCTCTCTCTCTCTCTCTCTCTCTCTCTATCTCTCTCTATCTCTAACTCTCTCTCACTATCTCTCACTATCTCTATCTCTAACTCTCTCTCACTATCTCTATCTCTCTCTATCGCTATCTCCCTCTCTCTCTCTATCTCTATCTATCTCTCACTCTCTCTATCTCTCTCTCTATCTATCTCTCTATCTCTCTCTCACTCTCTATCTTTATCTCTATCTCTCCCTCTATCTCTCTCTCTCTATCTGTCTCACTATCTCCTCTCTCTCTATCTCTATCTCTCTCTCTATCTCTATCTCTATCTCTCTCTCTATCTCTCTCACTCACTCTCTCTCTCTATCTCTCTATCTCTCTCTATCTCAACTCTCTCTATCTCATCTATCTCTATCTCTCTCTATCTATCTCTCTCTCTCTCTATCTCTCTCTATCTCTTTATCTCTCTCTCTCATCTCATCTCTCTCACTATCTCTATCTCTCATCTCTATCTCTCTCTCTATCTCTATCTGTCTCACTATCTCTCTCACTATCTCTATCTCTCTCTCTCACTCTCTCTCTCTCTATCTAACTATCTGTCTCTTTCTCACTATCTCTTCTCTCTCACGATCTCTATCTCTCTCTCACTATCTATCACTCACTATCTCCCTCTCTATCTCTCCTCCTCACTATCTCTCATCTATCTCTATCTCTCCTCACTATCTCTCTCTCACTATCTCTATCTCTATCACTCTCTATCCTCTCTCTCTCTCATATTTCTTCTCTAGCTCTACCCTATCTCTCTCACTATATCTTTCTCTCACTATCTCTATCTCACTCACTATCTCTCTGTATCTCCCTCTCTCTATCTCTCGCTCTCACTATCTCTATCTGTCTATCTCTCTCGCACTATCTCTATCTCCCTCTCTCTCACTATCTCTCTATCAATATCTCTCTCACAATATCTCTCTACCACCATCTCTCTCACTCAATATCTCTCTCACTATCTCTCTCTCACTATCTCTATCTCTCTCGCTATCTCTATCTCTCTCGATCTCTCTCTCACTCACTATCTCTCTCTCACTATCTCTATCTATCTCTAACTCACTATTTCTATCTCTCTCACTATCTCTATCTCTCTCTCACTATCTCTGTCTCACTATTTCTATCTCTCTCTCACTCACTATTTCTCTCTCATATATTTCTTGTAGCACTACTGCGTGTGCAGAATATTCATGCATACTTACCAGTTTGGTCTCACAGAGTTCAGTTTCTGTTGTGGTGTACAATAGGCTCAGAATGATTATACGTTATAGTCCGTGACTTTCATGTTCATTTTGTTTTGACCTCACACTATGAACGTTCATGGTCCAATGAACACACACAGAAAGTGAAGGTCTATATCCTCGAAAAAGCGTACACAGCCTTGCGCATGCTTCACACATTTCTGACAGCAATCACCAATACTTGTACTCTGGAAATTAAAAATAATTCATCAAATTTTCGAAATACACACTAAAATCAGTGAAAGTAGAAATGCTTCAAACTATAGCAGAGCTTGAACATAAACACGTGCTCTTTGTTTGTAAACAGTGAATAACTATTTATAGCGACTAGCGTCATCCCATAGTGCCTCTCGTGACGTCACGTCCGTAAACAAGCTTCGCGTACCCCAGCTCTCATTGTCCAGGGGTTCCAGATATTTCTACAATATTCGAAAGGATTAGGCGAATATTCGTCACTCCTTGGTCTCACACAAACGCCCCGACAGTCAGAAAGACGTGCTCCTGAGTGGTAGGTGGTGCTAATTCATGTATGCCCTTATACTGGAGAAAATTCCTCCTTGGTTTCTAGGTCACGGATGCAAAATGATGCAGACGAATTATGTTATCAGCTGATTGTAGGCCAGGCCCTCGTGAATTTCGTGCTTGGTTTGAGTATAATAACATTTCACGGTTCAAAGTTCTGGTTCTGTATTTACGGGCTTTTGTTTATTTTCTTGCCGATGACATTGATGAGGGTGAGTTAAAAACAACAGATGCGTTACTGTTATTCAAGGCGAGAAGGAGGATGGGTTGTGCCCAATATGCTGTACATACGAATACTAGGATATTTATAGATCGCCTGTACATTTGACTTTGATGTGTGGGGGGGCATTGGAGAAGGGTGTAAATTCTTTAGCATTTTTTCGGCTAAAATTCGTATCTAGCAGTAGCTCTTGAATCAGTATTTCCTACATGTATGCCAACATGGAAGTGTTGGCTTATTATCGTGTACAGAGTTGTTGATTGTTGATCAATTTTTCTGCTGACCTTAAGTTAACCAAATAATCAATGTCTATTATAAACACCACCAGGTGTGGAACAAGTGTCCATATGTTATGTGGTATTGAAATATTGCAATTTTATTCAATATTTATGATGTAATGTACACCTTAGGGCATAGCTATTGATGAAATTATTATTGATAATGTTTAATAAATAATTCTGCTGATGTTTGGTACGAATTCTTATTAAAACCCTTTTGTGTGGAAAATGAGAGTATTTAACATGTTTGGCCCTGATAGGCACAGCCCCATCAAAACTGTTCAACATAAATTTTAATTTCTCTACTTATTAGGACAAGTTGATAGTGAGACTCAAGTCTTATCCCAACTTTGGATAACCATTTAAAGTCTAAAGTCAGTTTTTGTTTTGTAAGGATATTTATTCAATCAATGAAGATGAGAGAAAATGTATTAAATCAATTATTCAAAATAGACCGTATTGGTGAAAAAATAAAACAGTTATTTCCATAAAACATTTGTCGGCCAGTCTGAGTGTTTGAAAGATGAGGGATCATTCACAGATAGATCTAATTATAATGTTTAAGCTTTGGGGTTCTCTAAATTTAAATTCTGTAGGATGATTATCAAGGACCTTTGGACCAATTTATAAAAAAATATTTTAAATATGACAAATATCTTTAGATATATTCTGTATGTATTCTATGTCAGGATGAAAGCAGGGTAATGTATACACTTTGAGACAGGGAAATGTGTCACTAAATGAGGTAGGAACTATCTATAGGATTATTTACACAATGGCCATTATCTGATTGTCTGCCAGCTAAGCTTGAGCTCGTCATGTTCCAACAATTCTATCTAATTACTTTGATGGTGTTCTGGCTATGACAAACAGTACAGGGTGCAGAAGGGCAGATAAAAAAGGAAATTACAGAGCCCAAACAATTAATGGAAGATTTAACAAACATCGCTGTTTGACTTGTCCTGTTTTTTGGCAAATACCCAAAAAGGTCACCCAACACAGCGTGCTCAGTGTTTTTATGGAATTGTCAACTGCGTATATATGTATAAATGTTATACAGTGAGTGTGTGGCAAGGCTTGTAGATCCTATATGTAAGTTTTAAACTGAATTTTGATTTTTAATTTATTTGGATTTTTAAAAACAAGATCAAATGACAAGTATCAGTAAACAAAATCTTCCTGAGTTGCTACTTTGGATTTTTCTAGTGACCGTAAAAAATCCAGAGATTTCAAATAATTACTAAGCTCACATAGCATTGTGAACTTGTGTAATAAACATGATATAGAAATACTAACCACATCAAAGTGTAGTAAGGACATAATATAATTTAAAGAAATAATATGTTCTATTACCATGACTACTGACTTAACATGTTAAGTGATGTGGCAGATGTTTTCATGTTAATAGTGTAAACCATTTTCTACTATGAATTGGAAAATACTTGATTCTGACTCACAAGTTTCATAGTATTGATCCTGAGTCTTTCCATCTAATGACCAATTTCACATACTGATTATTTGCTCAAAGGAAAGTCAGGTGGAACTTAAGAAAAATTGAAAACATGTTGTTTTATACATGTAGTTATGTTGTAGCTTATATTTCAAGAAGTTTTGTTTTAAGAACTAGCTGTGCAAACCTCAACATGTGGAAATCTTTCAGAAATTCCTTCCCTCTCCTTAATCATCTCATACTGACCCATTCTCTTCCCACAGAGGTTACTTGTCATATCTTCCTACGTAACCTCTGTTCTAATACGGCCATATTTCCCGGTTCTCGTAAAATCCCCTAGCGGCAAAAGATCGCAACACGAATTATCTCCCTTCTTTCTATCCAATCAGAACACGTGTTACATCGACTTAGATTCAACTTGACTAACACAAGCAACTGTGGGGCCACAAATATCCCCAATCTGCCGGGGACTTGTGTTGATGTTACACACAAGACGTTTAATGGCTAGCTTGTCCGTGGTCAACGAGGGCGATGGAGACGCCACTGATCCGCCATAACATGATTGAGTTCTGTCTAGAAGAAACGTTTGCGCATCGTGCAGGGGAAGAGGTTTAGTTTTCTCGAAGCATACGGAAATTACCGAGGCCTTGCGAATGATCACTTTTGAAACAACGTCGCTGATTGCACAACTAAATCTGAATGCCTCCAATCACGAGTCTTGAACGCTCACACCATGAAAGGGCCGTATTAGAACAGAGGTTACGTAGGAAGATATGACAGGAGTAAACTCTGTGGGAAGAGAATGATACTGACCAAGAAAATCAGAAGGACAGTGAAATTAAGAAGCTTGGGCCTGAAGCTATATGTATTATTTAATTGTAGTATTTAGCTGTGATTTACGTATCCAATAATCCATACTAACTGAAAACTCTGAATTTCAGAATCCTAAAATCATCTGCCATGGCAGAAAAAGGAGAAAACAGCCCTGAAACTTTGAACAACTCAATCGACGCCGAGGTGAATTCTGATGGGGATGAAAACGGCCTGAACAGTTCAAACAGTGAGATAGATAGCAAGAAACGACGAACACAGACTCCAAGTCCCCACCCAACTGGTGTTCCGGGTTTCATGGCAGCAGGTGAGGTGTCATTTATTTCCTATATGGAGGAGACAGTGGGGTAGCCTAGTGGTTAAAGCATTGTCTCATCAAACCCCACATAGCTACAATCAGTGAAGCCAAATTCTGGTGTCCTGCTGTGGTACTGCTGGAATATTGCTAACACCATACTCCATCACTTCTCTATAGGACAGACCGCCTCCGTGGTGTAGTGGTTAGAGCGTCCGCCCGGAGAGCGGAAGGTCGCGGGTTCGATCCCCGACCACGTCATACCAAAAGACGTTAAAATATAGTACTTGTTGGTCCCTGCCTGGTGCTCGGCATTAATGGGTAAAACAAGGACTGGTCGGCTCGGAGTCAGTATAATGTGTCTGAGTGGGGTATTCATGCTTCACTGCGGCATGGTATCTCAGTGGGCTAGCACTATAAAACCAGCTTCAGTCTTGGCCAGTACAAGGAGCCGCACATACCCATACACAAGCATGCACGTCGTCATATGAGCGAAATATTTTCAAGTACGACATTAAACCCAATTTCACCTCACCTCACCTCTCTATAGGACAGCTAAGAACACAAGAATTCTTGGTAAGGACGAAAACGAACATATATGTAATTCAAATTTATTTTATTATTGTTCATTAGGGTGATGGGGTGGCCTAGTGGTTAAAGTGTTGGCTCATCACGCTGAAGACCCAGTTCGATTCCCCACATGGGTACAATGTGTGAAGCCCATTTCTGGTGTCTCCCGCCGTTATATTGCTGGAATATTGCTAAAACTAGTAAAAGCAGTGTAAAACCATACTCACTCACTCACTCACTACTGTTCATTCAGCCTGACAAATGTGAATGCATGATGCCCCTACAGGGGTGGAAATAACTTTAGAATTGCTAGTCTACTCCGGTAAAGTGGCACATGTAAAATCACTTGCCTGATATTTTTTCCACTATACCAGCCGTTTTCTTGTTGATTGTTTACATAAACAACATAATTAACATTGGAATATCAACTGGACACTGGTACAGTGTGATATACAAATTTGCTTGCCCGACAGAAAAAAACACTGGACTCGGGCGTCGGGCAATGGGTTATTTCCACCCCTGCCCTAGAGCATATGTTAGCCAAACATCTATGTGAACTGGGTAGCTTATATGAAAGTCTGTAAAGGCATTTAGAAGATCATCCCTGCTTGTGTTGTGTAAACATATCATAATGCATATACATACTTACTCTATACTCTTATGCATTCAACTGATGAATGAGCAAGGGGTACCTCTGAAGTGTCATGACATTATATAAGAAGTTTTTATCCATTACAAGTGTCATGTCTTCATGTAGCTTATACTCAACAGTCAGCCATAGGAATGAACAACTCACACCAAAATCAGACTTATTGATGTCCTCACCATAATGCCAGTCATTATTTTTTAATATCCAATAATAAAATAAAAAATGAATTAAACACCAACAACGAGACTTATTTTCATCACCATAATTGTCATTATTTTTTAGCTTTTATGCACTTGAGCATGCACTAGTGCGTGGATATGTGTGCAATATAAATATCCAATAATAAAATAAAAAAATGAATAATAAACACCAACAACGAGACTTATTGATGTCCTCACCATAATGCCAGTCATTATTTTTTATTTTTTATTTATTTGTGTGCTATATAAATATCCAATAATAAAATAAAAATGAATAATAAAGCACCAAAATGACTTATTGAGTAATGCAGTGGATATTTGTGTGAGCATGCATATAAATATGTGTGCTAATAAATATCCAATAATAAAAAATGAATAATAATAAACACCAAAATCAGACTTATTGATGGCCTCACCATAATGCCAGTCAACACCATAGTAGCTGTTCATTTTCTTGAGACAGTGCCAAAACCTTTGCGTTTACTACCCCACACTTGTCCCGTGACAATATTTTCAGTAGATTTCAGTGTTAGTATATAGACTACTATCAGCTGAGTTTACTAGATAGAAAATATTTGTGCTGGACTCAGACATAGTGACTAAACTGTCGGTTTGTTACTCTCTTGTCAGTAACTTCAGTGTCACAATAGAAACAAATATGTAGTTGTGTGGTAAAAAGACTTATAGGAAAATATTAATGTCATGATCTTGATTTCCTGTAGCTTCTCCCCCGAAGTTTGTGTCGTTTGAGCAGCTGATGGAGGCAGCCAATGGTGTGCGAAACATGACACTTGCCCATGAGATTGTGGTTGATGGCGACTTCAAACTGGACACTCGCAAGCCACAGAAAGACAGGTATGGCTGTGTGTAACTTGCCCTATCTTTTTTTTTTTTGTAATTTAAATTTTATTTCTGAATCCCTGTTACAGTCAAAAGTAAGCAGTCATGGGATACAGGTGGAATTTTTTACGAAACAAGACAATCCATTCACTCACCATTCACACAAGTACAAGATTATTTTTAATTATCAAACATATTAATAATATAATTAATTCAGTCGTCTTTGAATAAGCCATGATATAAAAGCCATTTCGAGGAAAATTCGTCGTTACAGCTTTTGTTAAAGAAAAAATACATTTTTCAATACTATATCTCAATCTCAACTCACTTCTGAACTGAGCAATATTTGGTAAAACAGAATTGAGCTTGCATTTGTACAAATAATATTTTCCCAATAATATGAACAAGTCAAAAACAGAGTCAGTAAAAACATTTACTATCTTACAAGGGGACCTGGTCATGGCAAGTTCCACTATGAAACGGGGCGGTGGGGTAGCCTAATGGTTAAAGCGTTGACTCGTCACGCTGAAGACCCGGGTTCGAATCCCCACATGGGCACAATGTGTGAAGCCCATTTCTGGTGTCCCCCGCCGTGATGTTGCTGGAATATTGCTAAAAGCGACGTAAAACCAAACTCAGTCAGTCAGTCCACTATGAAGCTACATTATGACTTTTTGGAGCATATAGTGGTCAGGGCTTTTGTTGTATTCTAACTATAAGTGTTGTGTAATTGTTTTCTTGACAAATGTATTAATAAGAATTTACCTCAATATATTTTTGTATTTATGGAAGTATAAATGTAAAGCCGTGCTACTTTCATACACTACACTCACCGTGTTATGTTCATGTTCCATAAATTAATATATTATGGATGTCAGTTCTTAGATTAAAAAGATCAAGTTAAATATCAAGTCAATACTATAGAGGCAATGCAAATGATCCATATCAAATATGCTTCAGTGGCAGTGCATGTATTTCTTTTCCCAATAGTTGATCCATCTTCTGACTGTATATACTGTATAATATTTGCAAATGTATGGCATGCATTTTTTTCACTTTTTCACTTTCCAGTACACTGTATATATCCTGTAAAACACTGTATATATATCCCAACACTGCATATGTTTTCCCCAATGTCTAGTTTCCACTGTACATTGTACATTGTATTATGTAATAATATGTTTAATTGTATTTAGGGAGAAGGTGATCATAAGTGGTGCACTTGTGCCTAATCCCGTTGTCATTTGGACAATAAAATATGTTTAAAGCCATCTTCTGACTCTTTTTCAGTGTTCATTCACAAGTACAGGAAGTGGTACACAAGGCATTTTGGGACTTGCTGCGTGAGGAAATTAGTCAGGACCCTCCAGAATTCAAAAGGTCGCTGGTTCTCATTGAAGAAATAAAGGAGGTAAGTAAACCTGATCCTAGGTGTTATGTAGATCAAGTACAGGAAAACACAGGAGCTTGTTGGGTACAAATATGTAGACTTACCCTACAACATAGGATCTGGCATGTCTTGACTGGTGTAACAGGTTATATCTACACTGCATGTATTCTGGCATGTGTTAAGAGGTTGACCAGGTTTGTTTTTTCACTGTTTGTCTTTCACGCTGCTTGTATGGTGGCATATGGTAAAAGATTTAACAGGTTGTCTTATGACTGTATGTATTCTGCCTAGTGTTAAAGATCTAACTGGGTGTCATTTCGGGATTTATCTTTCCACTGCATATATTCTGGCTTGTGTTAAGAGATTTAAGGAGGCATTGGGGTAGCCTAGTGGTTAAAGTGTTTGCTCCTCACGTCAAAGACCCAGGTTCCATTACCCACGTGGGTACAATGTTGTGAAGCCCATTTCTGGTGCCCCTGTCGTGACATTGCTGGAATATTGCTAAAAACATACTCACTCACCCATTAAGACATTCACCAGGTTGTCTTTGCACTGTATGTATTCTTGGACATGTTAACACAGTGTATGAAATAAGGCCCGTCCGACCGCCCGAGACAGGCTAGATTTCTGACAGACGGCCTAAATTTACAGCTAGCCAGCCCGATGGTGTGGTAAAATCTGAGTGAATTTACCATATCTTGGTGTCTGGTCTGGTTAAATCCATTTTGGGCTGAAGTTACCAGCCCTGATGTCTGGCTGGGGTTTTGGCTTATTTCATACGCTGGTTAACATGTTATCTATAAACTGTACATGTTGGGGCTTATTTTAACAGATTTGAAACGTTAACCTTTCGCTCTTCTTATTTTGGTTTGTGATAATAGATTTAACATGTTATTCATGCCCTGTATGTATTCTGGCTAGGTTATATTTCCACATACAGTCAACTCTCGTTAATCCGACACTTGTGGTTGCAGAGAAATATGTCGGATTAACGAAAATGTCGGATTAATGTATTTGTGTGAAAATATCAATGTTTACTAAATGTCATGATCAAAAGGAGATTTCTTTCTTGATCAATGGCGTAACTTCTACAAGGGGTCGCTTAGCAGCTGGTGTACTCGTGACAAACATCTTGTGATGAAAACTCATGTCGGTTGTAAACATTTTATACAGCTCGCTCTACTGTTATTTCTTGATTAAATCGTCTCAATTAATTATCCTGTGTTCCTAATTAACAAGTGTGATGTTCACTGATGCCGGTGTCAAGCAGCCAGTAAGGCACACGCTAATTACCACTCATGTGTGATTGTTTGTATACGGTCGGATCATCCGACCGGCTGTGTTGATTGTCGGATTAACGAATGTTTTTACAATGTATTTACAATAATCAGTTGCTAGATTGGTGTGTCGGAGTCGGAATGCGAGAATGTCGGATTAACGAGAGTAATTATCACTGTTTTAAATGGTTCCCTAATTTTTTGTCGGATTAACGTGATTGTCGGATTAATGAGTGTCGGATTAACGAGAGCTGACTGTATACTGGCTTATGGTTACAGGTCTTGTTGTCACTGTTGCTACCCCAGCATGTCCGATTACGAGCCCAAGTAAATGAAGTACTTGACCTTGAGCTCATAGAGCAAAAGATGGAGAACGAAGCATTTGACATCCACTACTATGCCGAATATGTAATTGGCATCATGGGCCGGCTGTGTGCCCCCCTCAGGGATGACCAGATCGCCAAGCTCAAGGAGCAGAAGGAAATTGTGCCACTCTTCAAGTAAGACATATGTTATGATGTTTTGATTTACAAACATTTCATTAACATACAGTGAAAAAGGCCAGGTATGAGTTCTTAAATTATTACCTAAAATACTTGTTCCTAAAATTATTGACGATTATGTTTTGACAATTACGTGTAGCACAAAATGGAAGAATCAGAGACAAGAAAAGATAAGAAAGTTGGTAAGTTTGGATAATGCGTTCATTAGTGAACACATTATATATTTATATTTAAACGATATTTTACTTGTTGCAATGAAGAGGCATACAGTATTGCATCCAGATAAAAGGCCCACATAAAAACGCTTCCTGTATCACAATACATACAATATATTACAAGCTATTCAGCTCATTAATAACAGAAACTGTTCAACAACCAGCTTCCAAACATTCTCTAGTATTTCCCAGCTAGATGATAATGGCATCATATTCACAGAGCCATTTAGCCATTATGTCCCTACAACATCCTATCTTCTATCTCTGATGCTTCATAAACAAATGATATAGGGTTGTGATTCGCAGCAAAAAGAAATAATAGCAACTAACAAAAGTATTAAATCATAAAATTTTAAATCAAAATACTTAACTTAACCCACACCAGTGTTCACGGATGGTGTTTCAAAGTAACAGGACATTGGGTCCTGTAAGTTTCAGATGTCGGTCTGACCCATTGAAAATTCAGAGGACACATAGAATAAAATTAAACACACATTTCAGATTTAACATTTGTTATAATTGGCATTAAATTATTAACAAGTACCGGTATAAGATTTACAAACAGCAAACAAGTGTCACATGTCACATATAACAACTTCGGTCAAAGTCATTGTGAAATATACAGTCAGACACTTGGGCCGGCGGGTTGTAGACTTCTATCAGACCTTTTTCGAATCTGCCAGATTTGTCAGAGGGTCAGACGCTATTCGTGAACACTGCCACACATAGCATCAGAAATAGTACAACGCAGCATAGCATAGTATCCTATCACACCACCAACTTTATCCTCAGCATTGTTATCATTATGCCTCTACTGTAGTCAGTGTAGTTTTAGCAGACGCAAAGGAAATAACCTCCTGTTGTTAATAAAAAAAATCAAAGAAGTCACACATGGTTGGTCCTGTGGTTTCCAGGGAGATATTTGAGGTTTTAGACCTGATGAAGATGGACATGGCCAACTTCACGATCCAGCAGATGAGGCCCTACCTTCAGCAGCAGAGTGTGGAGTACGAGCGCAACAAGTTCCAGGAGTTCCTCAAGACTCAGGATGGTATGCTGTGTGGAGTTTTGTTAGGATGGTTGGGAGTGTGGGGGTTAGTTCATAGGACACCGGATGTAGGCTGTGTAGGGGATGGTTAGGAAGATGCTGTATGGGGGTTGCCTGTAGTTCAGCAGTTAATCCTCACTCAGTTTGGTGATATTGAGATAGTTGACAATCTGTGTGTTCTCAAGGCAGTCTGTCCTCTGGGCTTAATGTGATTCAAATAAATATCTAGTTCAAGTAAAACTGTCTTTCCCAGTCTACAGTTTGCACTCCTATGCTTAGGTCAAGTTAGGAGTGAGTGAGTGAGTTTGGTTTTGCGCCACTTTTAGCAATATTCCAGCAATATCATGGCAGGGGACACCAGAAATGGGCTTCACACATTGTACCCATGTGGGGAATCGAACCCGGGTCTTCACCGTGATGAGCGAATGCTTTAACCACTAGGCTACCCCCACCCGTCCTGGTCAAGTGAGGAATCAGCAGTGATTTGTGCTTGTTGCAAATGGTTTGGGTGGTCAGACTCTGTGTCTTGGTTTAGTGTGTCTCATTAAATGCAACAGCATGTTTGCTCATAGTATCCATCCTCGATAATCTCGAGCGTATACATTCCGATAAATCTCCACTAGTACCCTGGATGCTCTACGGCTCGGCCCTATAATTTTATTACCTCCCTTTGCTGGCTTTTTATCAAATCAGGTGTCCATGTTGGGAAGTTGAGCATACCAATTACAAGGCTTCTATCATAACTCACTTTTGCTTTTTTGGTAAACAGTAATGGGAGGAAACAATTAACTTTGAGAGGGTGTGTTCTCGCTTCAACTTACGACAGTTAACTCCCATAAAGAAGTAATCACTGAAATATTGCACCACGACCAAACCTTAGCGGCTGCAGCCACCATCTTTGTTGACACTGGCAAGCTCAGCTGTAATGGCTTATCTGATTGGCTACTGTATAGAAGGCTGAGCCAGCAAAGGGAGGTGATAAAATTATCGGGCCGAGCTGTAGATGCACCAAGGGTACTAGTGGAGATTTATCGGAGCGTATACCCTGGAAATTATCAAGGATGATAGTATCAAGCACCTGTTTATCTAACCAAAGCTTAAATATTTACAGGTTACCATGACATAGGTGGAATATTGCTAACTGAGGCTTTAAAATCAAACAACAATGTTTTCATCAAGGCTAGCCCCTACCAGCCCAGAGGTTGGTTGCCTTGACAACAAATAGTCCATATCAATGCAGTAACTTCTGTATCATTGTGATGAGTTTGACATACTTTTTGATGGGAAAATGCATGTGTTTTGTCAGAACATGGAACAGATGGCTTGCAGTTCACTAAAGTGTGGCTGAAGCGAAGCTTTGAACAACTTCTGGCTGAGGAAGAATCTTCCGGAGAGGGAGCCACTGTAGGGTCAAAGGTCACACCAGCATCTATCATGAATGAGGCATACATGGAACTTCTACAGTGGAATGATGACCAGATGTTCCCAGAGGTATGGATGAGCACTGATCGTGTTAGTTGGGTGTAGTTTCCATTGTTTCAGTATTATTGTTTTTAGAGAAGTAAGAAGTAGTCGTGTTGTAGTGTACTTTGGTGGTGTAGGAAACCTCAGTGATGTAGTGTACAAAGTGTTGTCATTTTCTTACTGTAGCGGACTCCAGGATAGCAGTATTGTAGAGTACATAGTGTTTTATCAACCTCAGTATTGTAGTGATCTCTGTATTGTAGGGATCTCAGTGTTGTAGGGATCTCAGTGTTGTAGTGATCATATGATGTAGTGGCCTTGGTATTGTAGTGATCTCAGTATTGTAGGGATCTCAGTGTTGTAGGGATCTCAGTGTTGTAGTGATCTCAGTGTTGTAGTGACCATATGATGTAGTGGCCTTGGTATTGTAGTGATCTCAGTGATGTAGTGGCCTTGGTATTGTAATGACCTCAGCGATGTAGTGACCTTGGTATTGTAATGACCTCAGCGATGTAGTGACCTTGGTATTGTAATGACCTCAGTGATGCAGTGACCTTGGTATTGTAGTGATCTCAGTGATGTAGTGACCTTGGTATTGTAGTGACCTCAGTGATGTAGTGACCTTGATATTGTAGTGATCTCAGCGTTGTAGTGACCTTGGCATTGTAATGACCTCAGTGATGTAGTGACCTTGGTATTGTAATGACCTCTGTGATGCAGTGACCTTGGTATTGTAATGACCTCAGCGATGTAGTGACCTTGGTATTGTAATGACCTCTGTGATGTAGTGACCTTGGTATTGTAATGACCTCTGTGATGCAGTGACCTTGGTATTGTAGTGACCTCAGTGATGTAGTGACCTTGGTATTGTAGTGACCTCAGTGATGTAGTGACCTTGGTATTGTAATGACCTCAGTGATGTAGTGACCTTGGTATTGTAATGACCTCAGTGATGTAGTGACCTGTGTTGTAGTGACCTCAGTGATGTTGTGACCTGTGTTGTAGTGACCTCAGTGATGTAGTGACCTTGGTATTGTAGTGACCTGTGTGTTGTAGTGACCTGTGTTGTAGTGACCTCTGTATTATCTGTGCAGACTCTACTGATGGACCAGGGCCGTTTCCTGGAGCTACGTGACAAGACACGCCAGCTGACCCTGATGGCGTCCGTGTTGCTGGTAACATACAGTACTGTAGGAGCACCCATAGCAGGGATACAGGACCTCAAGACTACACTCAAGTCCAATATACTCACTGTCATTGCAGCAGAGAAGTAAGTCAAACTTTCACATTAGCCAGGCTGTGGAAATCTGATATTTGTTATTTGCCTCCACCATGACGCAGTCTTAAGTCTGTATGCAGATTTTCTTACCCAATGTCCAGTATTACTTGTATGTTGGTGCGTAATTCTTGTACAAATATTTTAATTCTTTGCCACACAAGACCAGCAAGAGAGTGAGTTAATTCGGGATATTCCTGTCATTCATCAATGCCTAAACACTCATGACGTGTTTCAATTGTACAAAGAGTTCAACGTTTTCATGTCAGTTTCATGTAGATTTGAAGAATGTAGAACTTTTAACAAGATATCAAGGTGATTGTTTTTCATTTTACATAGAGATTGGAAGAAGATGATTGTTTTCCATTTTACAGTTATATCAAGAATGTGATTTTTTCCATTTTACAAAGATTTCAAGAAAGGGATTGTTTTCCAATTTTCAGAGATTTCAAGAAAGTAATTGTGAATGTGGCCGACCAGGTGAAGAAAGATGTAAACGAGTGCCTTGTGAAGCACGGCTTCTCTCAGCTGGATGGGGAGAAAGAGAAGTTTCTCATTGGGCAGATCTCAGATGTTGCTGCTGAAGATCATGCTGTCACTACAGTCATGCGTAAGTTGGACGAAACTTGTCACTCAAATATTTACTGAACACAGGCATTTTGGGCAAAGAGATTGTGTTAGATATTATGTCTTATTAAATTAGATGTTAACAATGACAGTGATGGAAATCTCATACAATAAATAGGATGCTGCATCTTTGATCAGACAAGTGCAGAAGATAGATTACAAGCTTAGATTACTAGCCTATAGAAAATCAGTATTGCTAACTTCTGGCAATCATTACTCAGAGAAAGAAACAGAAAATACAAGCCACCAGTAACGAGTGAAATAATATTCCAGGTTATATTGTTTTAAAGAATGTGACATAGTTAATCAGAAAATCCTATTTGGTCCTACATGCACCTGTTAGAACTGACTTTTCAATTTCCCAGTTTTCTGCTTGACAATGGATACAGCACGAAGTTAAATGCTTCAGATCAACAGAGCTCAGGTCATTGACCTTGTACAAAGAAAATGGATCCCCTTTTCTGTTCAAAATTGGTCCCTGTCCCTAGATATTTCTGCTAATCCGACTTATCATTTTCACTTGTAATTGTCAGTTGACCACTAGGTTGTCAGAATAATCTGAATCTCCTAAAATTCTGGAGGAAAATCATAACATTGAAATTATTGCTGCATAAGAGACACAATTCTCACATTATCCAAGATCATAAATACCGTATCATGTTTATCAGTTTATTTCTTTGACAGTTGAGTATGGTGTCCAAAATAGGTTATATTATTACATTGCAGACAAAAGGATCTGTTCATTCATCAAAGGCTCCATCACTTCCCGCCACACGGAGCCGCTGAAGGTTCCGGCAGGCTACTCTGCCTTCCAGACAGAACTCAGCCAGATGCTGGGTCGCTTCCTGCGTCTTGTCTCCCACAACAGGTCCGTGTTCGGCATGCACTATGCCAACATCATCGGTTCCCTCATCCGCAAACAGCAGGACCTGTCTCCAAGATAAACAACCAAAGGAACAGCTCGTCACTCAAACATCTACAAGAAAACAAATTATTTGTTCCAGACAAGTTCATCAGTTACTCAAAGACGTTTCCTTCAGCTGGAATGAGGATCTCCTTTAGCTGGAAAAGGGATCTCCAAAAAAGTGTATGTCCTTGGTAAGCCAGATGAAGAACAGCATGATCCAAAGACAAGTTAATATATCTCCTCTGGTATTCCAAAAGTGTAGAACTGGTCTTTATTCCAGTAAGAGGTCCTTAGCTGTACAACTTTCATAGTCTCTTTTAAAGTGTTGGAATTTTGATAATCAAAGCTTCAAGATTCCATGCCAGGACGGGCCCTGGGTTATGAGCCCTAAAACCTTGACCCTGTAAATTCTACATGGGTTCATGTTTCTCAATGTCACGGACTCTATTGGTTTAATTATTGGTAGAAACTACCACTGTAAATGATCGTCATTTAAAATACACTGTTATCATTTAATGTAACATCCAAAGGGACCTCCCTTTTATTTTAGATAGAAAGGAGGCCTGCGATTTTAAATCCATGTGTGTCAAAGTTTGAAGATGCGATTTCTCAATAATGTGAAACCCTGTTAGTCTGGACACTACTGGCCAAGAAACTCTGAATTCAGAATAATTTTTATGAACATTTCAGGATTATTTAAGGGACAATTTGTGAATGTTTAAATTGAAATTAGGTTAACTGACGGATTTACTGAGAATAGCACTGTCCAGATTGCCAGTGTTTCACTAAATGTGTTATATATTAGTAGACAAAATGTCTTTGTCCTCATGACGCCAAATTGCCAAGATATTTTGTTAGGAAAGTCTCGCATGGAAACAGTGAAGTAATCCTTCTCGAAATATTAGATGTATTTTCAGTATATCGGAGATGACCCCATCCAAGATCATGGTGTGTTATTTGTTTTTTATCTTCACGTGCGTATTTGACATTTCAGTTATTACCGAAATTTGAATTTCATGAGCATCTGTCCTGTGTGCATTTAATACATAATCTGCTGTAACATCATACTGAGTTGGGCGGTGGGGTAGCCTAGTGGTTAAAGCGTTGGCTCGTCACGCCGAAGACCTGGGTTCGAATCCCCACATGGGTACAATGTGTGAAGCCCATTTCTGGTGTCCCCCGCCTTGATGTTGCTGGAATATTGCTAAAAGCGGCGTAAAACCAAACACAGTCAGTCAGTCAGTCATACTGAGTTATGCAGGGATTCTGTCTTATGTACATATCAAGTCGAAATCACAAGCAGCCTTTTGTATTATCTCGCAAGCAAAAGGGATTTTGCAAATAGGTCCAGGGAGTCGATTCCGGAACGTGTCTGATTGTCATTATTATTTATATTATCATTATTATTCATGACAATAGAAGAAGCAAATGTGATGAACTGCCAAATGTGTTAGTAAGAAAAACTGTTTTGTAATAAGATGATGATGATCTCATATGTGAGGGGGCGACGTGTTACAATCCGGGCCCCGTTACACAAATCGATCTTAACGCTACAACTGTCGTAATTCTAGGTTAAAGTATGGGCTTTGTGAAATGGGCCCCTCTCCTTTCCACAGGTGTAGCATTATCATTGAAGAATAATTAGGTTACCATATGAATATAGACCCGAGTGTTTAGTGGATAAATAAGCTACAGGGTTTCTGATGATTGAGGTGGTGACATTTTTACCTTAACGAAATATGACAGGATGTGCATGAAGCTGAAAAGTTTCTTATGGTGGAACTGTTAGTTCTTAGTGGTCATCACGTTTCTGTTATGATGATGTTTGCTTCTGGATTTACAATGCTTATTGTTTTCCTTAAGGTGCATTTTCATGGTGTGAGTCTTGCAGTAACAATTTGTAGTACACAAACCGTAACAATATTAATTCGCATACAACTGAGTGCAGCTGAGTTGTAAGACGTATGACTTGTCCTAATTCCTACTACAAGTCTCAAGCTCTCAACCACTCAAAATCGCTAAACTCTGTGTCCACCTCAGAGTGATGTCCCTTTGTTTGTCTTGACATCATGTCGGAGACACAACTGAAGAAATTTGGTCTTACAGAGAAAAACTGAACAATCCACTTGTGAACTCACACTGATTTGGGCATTCTTCTGTTTTATTGACTAATACACATTCACATTAATGTTAGTATCTGTTCTTCTCTTGATGAATCCATTTTGTCGAGTCATGTGCGAGAATCTCTTGAGATACGAGTTGTTGTGACTTAAAAACTACACAAAAGGCAAAGTTGTTATGATCTTTATTGTTACTACAAGTCATATGCAACATGTTGTTACTACAAGTTGTGGGGCGGTGGGGTAGCCCAGTGGTTAAAGTGTTTGCTTGCACGCCGAAATCCCGGGTTCTATTTCCTACATGGGTACAATGTGTGAAGCTCATTTCTGGTGTCCCCCGCCATGATATTGCTGGAATATTGCTAAAAGCGGCGTAAAACTAAACTCACTTATTACTGCAAGTTGCACTATGAGAACTCACTTTTAAGGAAACAAGCTGTAAGTCTCACATTGGAGTGTTTTACTGATCCTGAGAAGCATCCTGACATTAACCATTGTAGAGTGAACAATGTGCCAACACACTATGTCTCCTGAACTTGTACCTGTGAGACAGCTATTGGCCTGAATATGATGTTACAAGTTGTATATGTTTACCCCATCTATATTCATGATGACACAGTATTGTTTCAGGGTGTTTTGCATGACATTTTCCTGAAGGACTGAGAATCTGTATGTTTATTCACAGAGCATGTTGTAACAGAAGTAGGGGATTACGCCACAACACGGCGATTGGTGTTTGTCGGAACAGTCGTCTTTACGTTTTCACCTTTCAATATGGTTTTGTCATGATTTACTACAAGAACAAATAACGTTGTTAGCTATTTCATTGACAGAGTTTCATTGCATAGGGTGACAGAAACCTGCAATTGTGGGTTCGAATCCCACATTCCACCTGATAATCTTTCACGGTTTGTTGACACCAAACCCATGATCATGGATTTCGTTTTAGCGTACAAGTTACACACCTGCATCACTTTGCTTTTTCCACACAAACTATGTAGCGTTCCAACACGCTAATATATGCTAAAACTCAAGTATAATACTGTTCAACGTGAAGTAAATCCTACTCACTCACTGACCTACTGAATAACCAGGTTAGTGTAAACATCCCCAGAAAGAATAATAGCAAAAAAATGTGGAAAAGGCATGTTTTGGGTTGTTGTTTTTTTGTTCGTAAGTGAAGGTTGTTATCAAAATTGTATTTATTTTTCTCCTTGCATGAGGGATTGTGTGATATGATGGACAAATTTCACTTTTGTAATACAGTTTGAATCCAGTCCATTTACTTACCGTAATGCAGAGGTTGTGATTGATCTGTTCATTTGATCTAAAACATGAGAGAATTAATTTCTGCAAAATCATAAGCCAGATTTTACGAGGATGAAATGATCCGATTGACTTGAGGAGAGTTGTATTACCAGTAGTTATGCTGTATGATGGTTGTATCCCATAGAAGGTGCTAATGTTGTGTAAATAATGTTGTTTGATAGAGAGAGTTGTCAAATTAACTCTATACCTGCAACAAAATATGTCAGCTTTTTCATTGATATATAACCTGTATATGACATACGACTTCTCATCATTTACATAAGTTAAATACAAAAAGAGGATCTTCTTTCAAATGGTTCTATTCAAGTTATCATGTCTGACCTTGACCTTAATTGTCTGACCTTAACCCTAATTTTCTGACCTTGACCTTTATATTCTCGCCATCATCGGTTTAGTTTGACTTATGATTTTCATCCAAGTACTTTAAAAAGTCAGATTGGTGGTTCAGGAAGGATTATATTTTCAATGTTTTTGAAGAAAAACTGTTCAAGGTATCGGCCCCAGTGTGATTGGAATATCCATGTGGCTATGTGGCCATCTACCTAATGTGTGGACATCTGCTCTTACTCTCTGTCAGCCTTAACAAATCTGTCATTTCTATCATTAAAATAATCTATCATTTTGTATTTTTATATGAATATTTTACTTTTTATGTAACTTCATCAAAGAGTTTTATTGAATTAAAAAAATGGTTGCCATGGTCACAGTACATTTTGATACATATATGTATTTATTAATGTTTCTTCAGATAATGAGAACAATAATTCATCTGCAGTATATATGTTTCATTAGGTTTCAAAATATTAAAATGCTGAAGCCACAAGTTCAAGGATTTGTATTTTCCTACAAAATTGCATTCCTACATTTTTAGGTGATTTTTGTAATGTTCATTATATATCTGACACAAATAGCATATAAGGAATATTATTTTAAAAAATGCAATTAAATGCAATGGAAACAACATTCTGGGAGACAAGTTTTGTGATAAGAGGGTTTTTTTCTATTTAAATAACATAGCCCATCTCCTTCCAATGTCTTTACCTTGAAGGAACTTAATCAGTTACATATACATACATATATATGCTCTTATTCTAACCTATACATAAATATTTTGCTGTGTTCGTGTTTTTTTTCAAAAGAAATTCAAAGTTTACAATGTAGCCAAATTGGATGTACACAGTTTGAATTTCTCTAAATTGTCTCTCAATTGTAACGAATTGCAGATCATTGTGTAACTAAAATCAACAGTATTTTTCTACAAGGGAACATGTGTAGGGTGAATGAATTATTAATTAGAGTGGTAGCTGGATCAGTTTGATGTTCAGCTTCTGATACTGCTGGCCTTAGATTGTTGAATTCTTTGATTATCAATGTTGAAGCTGGTACGGTAATGACATAGGTTGAATTCTTTGATTATCAATGTTGAAGCTGGTACAGTAATGACATAGGTTGAATTCTTTGATTATCAATGTTGAAGCCGGTATGCTAATGACATAGGTTGAATTCTTTGATTATCAATGTTGAAGCTGGTATGCTAATGACATAGGTTGAATTCTTTGATTATCCCAATTGAAGCTGGTACGGTAATGACATAGGTTGAATTCTTTGATTTATCCCAGTTGAAGCTGGAATGGTAATGACATAGGTTGAATTCTTTGATTATCCCAGTTGAAGCTGGAATGGTAATGACATAGGTTGAATTCTTTGATTTATCCCAGTTGAAGCTGGAATGGTAATGACATAGGTTGAATTCTTTGATTTATCCCAGTTGAAGCTGGAATGGTAATGACATAGGTTGAATTCTTTGATTTATCCCAGTTGAAGCTGGTACAGTAATGACATAGGTTGAATTCTTTGATTTATCCCAGTTGAAGCTGGAATGGTAATGACATGACATAGGTTGAAAGGATAACATCTCTATTTACACTGTTGCAATGTTTAAGTGCAGGTGAAATCACTGTTAATCATGAAACAATATATTTACGCACGATCATGCCCTTTTACAAACATTGTGCTGTGTCCTGTTTGTACAGCTTTAATACAGAGCAGAAAACTAGATGCAGGTTTGCTAATAATTTTAGATAAAACGATGGTAATTTATGGATGTCAACATTTGTAATACAACCGACACAACGTTTGGAGAATATTCTTTCACTTCATTTCACCTGATGAAGACGTTGTGTCACAAGTTGACCTCCATAACTTTTGGTACAAAGTGTGAATCCCATTTCTGGTGTCCCCCGCCGTGATGTTGCTGGAATATTGCTAAAAGCGGCGTAAAACCAAACTCAGTCAGTCCACCTAGATATTGCCAGGACATTGCTAAAAGTGGCATAAAACTATACCACTCATTCACATCATAAGTGGGGGATGGGGTAGACTAGTGGTTAAAGCGTTCACGTCATGCTGAACACCTGGGTTCGATTCCCCACATGGGTACAATGTGTGAAGACCATTTCTGGTAATCCCCCACCATGATATTGCTGGAATATTACTGAAAGCAGCTAAAACACATACCCACTCACTCTTTCACATTTAATAACTGTGGCATTCCTGAGACAGCTGTGTAGATATATCTATGGCTACTGTAATTAATGGCAAATGAGGTTTTTAATTTATGTTTCAATTATTGTAAATATTCTTCAAGTGTATGGTTCTGTTATGACTCATATTAATTTTATTTCTGATTGTATATAAGAACAAGAATTAAGATAGATGTTAATAGTCATTAGAGTTTTTATTTTATTCTATATTTGTTAATACTCTGTTGACTTTTATGCTCGATATCATCTCATTTTATAAAGGAATGGTTTGTAGTGTCAATGCTGAGTCAAAGTATTATGTAGCATAATTTAGTTGTGTTTACAACAACTATGAACTATGAGTACTGTGTTCAAATGGTGATCATACATATTTAATTGGAAAGGTGGGTTGTAATTAAAACATTAACTTGTCTGCCAAGCCCCAGATATTGGCAGATCCAAAACAAAAAGCTAAAACAAGAAACAAAGTGTGATATTATTGTCAGGGTCAAATTTCCTTAGGACTAGTTGTGAAAAGCATTTACAAAAATGTAAGAAAAAGCATTTCATTTTTAACCATACGTCCCTGTGGTGTTATTTCTCAGGTGAACAGTTGACCTGCCTGTGCATGTGTTTGTGATAGATGCCTCCATTGAGGAAGGATATGATTTTTTCAAGAATACTTGGTACTTTCACTATTTTATAGTGATTCACAAGCACATGCTCATGATCTGGTCTTAATCAGATAATAGTAGAATCTGGAGACCTTCCTAGTGATTATTGGTATCGTTTTGCCATATTTATGAATTTCACACTGCATTTTTAATTAATCCATTGAGAATTTTTACTTTCACCAAATATAGTCTTTTTATTATTATGAAGACAGAACAAGACAAATCTGTAGGAAGACTGTTTGAACGAAGTCATCCAACCAGATGGTTGTTGACTATTGGACTTGAACAGTATCCAGCCAGAGCACAAATGACTGTCATGGCAACAAAAACAATGCACATTGTTTCTCTGAACCCCGATTAATGTACAAAAAATCCTTTAAAAATTAATTTTTTAATTTTCTTTTGAGAAGTGGGTAATTTGGGAACAATGAAATACCAGTTATAGAGCATCCATTTGGAGCATTAAGTCACACCACATAGTGGACTGGACGTATCAATGCAGTATTATGTGACAGGGTGACTTTTATTCCTATATTTAAAACGGTTTTCTATTTATTCATGTGCTGCCTAAGTTATTTGAAGCTATCAGAAATATATTAAAATAAACTTGTATAATTGTAAATTAAATTGTATTCCAATCAAATATATTCTTATACACTGATTACAATCTTTGACTTGAGAAGTAGTGTTATCGAGAAACTGGTAAATAGGCCTAGTTCTATGGCTGAACCTGCTCGAAATTTTGTTATGGTCAAACAATCATTAAACTGAAAATAAATTTAGTTTTAACATCTATTTATGTGTATTATCACTTCAAATCAAATAGTCATTTGTTTTCATTTGTCCTGATTTTTTGCATTCTGATCAAGAAAAATAGTAGAAACAAATATATACATGGGCCTGACATTATGTTACGCTCTAAAGACATTTGTATTCTTTTTCTAAATGTGATGAATTTCAGTAATATTAAATTATTTTTATTATTTGGCTTTATGATTTACTCTTAAAGAAAAACCGTTATATGGAACATCAGAATAAGAACTTCCAGTTTTATGATGGTTTATAACAGATATACCCTGTAAGATTTTAGTTGACTTTTTGGTAAGCGCCTTTGGGTATGCTCGCCATGCATTTAAATAAATGTCTATAAGGGGAATGACATGCTATATATGAATATGTAATTTATTCCTTTTTACATGACGTTACATTCTGCATGAATCATATATACTAATATGTTCCCCAAACAATGCTTATCAGATTATTTGGATTTTTGACATATCATATATTTAGTAAAAATGTACAATTTTTTGGCGTGTGTCTGTGTATTGTTCGGTCCGAGCCAGTTTGACTGAACTAGTTTCAGTAGCATTGTTCACCGCCCTTGACTGTGATTAGTTGACCTGTTTGTATATATTTCCATTTGAGTGAGTTGTCCGACATTTATTATGAAATAAACTACACTTCAAGATTAGGTTCTTAACTTGTGTTTTTCTGTCAATAACTTCGTATGTGGTTTCTGAAAAGGCAAAAAAGAGAAGAAATGTTTCTAATTGTCTTGCAGTTCATTGAATGATGATCAGGGTTAGAATTGGTCTTCAGTAACCCATGCCTGTCTTAAGAGGCAATGCTCTAACAAGAGGCAGACTAACAGGATCGGGTGGTCAGACTTGCTTGGTTGACACATGTCATCACATCCCAATTGCGTAGATTGATGCTCATGCTGTTGATCACTGAATTATCTGGTCCAGACTCAATTATTTACAGACCGCCGCTTCCACAGCATTTCCACTTTCTAAATGGCATTGTGTATTTCATTGCTTTCGGACGTGGGAGCCGTGCCAATTAACACTTATCAGACTTTTGTTGGGTACACAAAGTCCGCAGTCTAGACTACCAGTTGTCCCGACTTCAATTTTGTAGGTAAGCCAGCGTGGGAGTGGCTGAGCGGTCTAGGGGTCTGACTGTGTTTGCTGGCGATTAGGTGCCTGACTCTGAGGGTGTGGGTTTGAATCCTGCATGGGACTCAACCCAACAAAAGTACTAGAATCTGTACTTTACAAAGAAAGTGTAATCCTAAAAATAACATATGTTAATGATTGCTTGTCTATCATTTTCAGTTCGAAAATAAGACAGTGGAAACAAAAAATGTATTGTAAAAAAACTCCATTAAAAACGTGTCATTCTTAATATCAGGAATTGATTTCGAACATGTGTGTCGGTGGTCTAAATGTAATTGTGATAACTGTCCTTTACATTGTTCAGTATGTGTGGACAATTCTCAGCTCCCTGGGGAACATCCAACCAATGCTGTTAAAACAATGTACCCAATAACGGCTGGACTAAGATATGAACACTAACATAGTGTCATAGTGTCAGCAGTGGAAATCTAAGCATGAGTCAAAACTCTGAAGACTGCCTGTATTTTTGCAACTGCATCTGGTCACTTCCACAATTGCTTAGCGTATATCCATGACAACCCACCTGATTAATAACACAATGACTGGGGTACAATGTTTGAAATTTATTCTGTATAATTATTCAACTCCACAATTATTTACAAAAGTATACAAACACATTTCTGTACAATAATAAATAGTATTCTAGGTGTATATATACATATCACAGTGAAGCTTCAAGTTGGTTATCCAAAATCAAACAAACACACAGAACACTGCCGTACACAATAAATAGATAATATTATCATGATTATTATTCAATGTTGTACACAAACTCCAAAGGTGAAAATGACACACAACTTCAGTCACAGTCCTGATTACCACTGTCAGAATTTCTAAATTCATAAATCTCAATCGGTAGTGAGATTTACCATCCATTACAATTGACAATACCTAAGAGACAAAACATTTAATATTCTCAGAAGGTGAATGAATTTCTTTCCATCACCAATTTCACAATCTTTTTATCCATCTATTCCAGCATCCACTTTCACCCCATACACTACACATATACACCATACCGACCGGATATCAAACGGTTTGTTCCTTATAGCATTATGTAAATGCATTCAGCATCTGTAAAAGATTAATATTTAATTGTTCCAAGTTTATATGAACCACAGGGCCATGATAGGTTTCTATTAAACAGACATGTACAATCACAAGGTCACATGTCTTCATGCTGCAATGACGCACAAAACAGATGATGTCATCCCTGATTGGTTAATAAATCAATGTCTTCACTGTTCAGTCCGACTACAGAGTTATTACAACAATCTGAGTCAGAGAATCTGACATATTTCATGACATGATTGTAGGTAGTGTGAAGATCCTACGGTTAAAAGACATTTTGATTGGTTGATGACTAGATGAACAGAGTTGTGTGACATTCTCAGAGGTGGAAATAACTTAAAATTGCTAGTGTACTCCAGTACAGTGGCACATGTAAAATCACTTGCCCTGATAATTTTTCCACTATACCGGCCGTTTTCTTGTTGATTTTTAAATAAACAACATAATTAACATTGGAATATCAACTGGACACCGGTACAGTGTGATATACAAATTTGCTTGCCCGACAGAAAAAAACACTTGACTCGGGCGTCGGGCAATGGGTTATTTCCACCCCTGATTCTACATAAGTGTGATAGGGACAGTTTGACACACTTCACAATTTCCAGTTGAACCATATTTTCCTCAAACCTGTTCCATACAGGTTACGTCTGTTGTGATGATAAATATGTAAGCTATCCATAATCCTTGACCCTCCAGCCTTTCTGTTACAATAAATGTAGATGTCTATAATCCATAATCCTCAACCTTCAAGGGTTTCATTTTGGATTGTACATAATATCTTCAATCCATTGTCCTTGACCTAGACCTTCTGCCTTAGTCCTTGACCTTCCGGAATTGGACATATATCTATAAAAGTACTTGTATCTATAATGCATAATCCTTGACCTATCCCTTCTGCTGGAATTACAAATACATCTATAATCCATAATCCTTCACATCCTATCCTTTCTGTTGGGATTATACATATGTCTATAATCCCATATCCTTCATGTTCTAGACTCATTTAAATTATTGTACAAACATTCACAATTCATAATCCTTAATCTTCCAGACTTTGTTTCAATTGTACATATACTTCCATCATATCTTATCCTTGACTTTCTAGCATTTCTTTGGGGATTATACATATATTCCTTATACATAATCCTTGACTTTCTGTTTGGATTGTACTTGGATTTCTGCTCCACTTGGTTTAAGGAAAACTAAACATCCATAAGAATCACATGTACAATACATGTTGTCTTCTGTTGTTTGTTCACACGAAGTGATAGGAAACCCTGGAAAAAGGTTTGTGAAAGCGTAACCCATGGATAAGAGGACCCCTTCTACAGACTGCTTTTTTTGGTCCTCAAAATTCGGCTTATAGACGGTCATATACGGTACATATTTCACACCCTCTACTACTTGCTTTACATAGAGCTATGGAGGCAATTGCTGCACACACAACACTGTTAACGTTCCTTGTATTGAAGGTACAACTGCAATGATGTGAGAATATACAACTGTTGACCCTGTGAGATTCTCAACATGGTTTCAGTACAGCAGACTCTATTTATAATGTGTGGGTACCATCATGTAGAGATTCATATATTACAAATATAAAATACATTTCTCAGTCTTAAAATACACAAAATACATGGGTATTATAAATCTCTGACAAAACTATGTATGAACACACACATGGGTATTATAAATCTGATGTATTATCTAATACTGATCACAAATATAGGCATTTTTAGCCAAAATATTAGTATTTGGCACCATGGAGAAACACTGGATTTACAACATGTAGTAAATACTGGGTAATATACCTGGAGATATATGTATTCACACCAATGTGAAAACAAAATCTGAACACTACGTAAATTAGAAAACACAAAAGAATATAATGCAATAGTTTCAACACAAAACTTTGCAGCATTGAGTTTAATTTTGTTGGGTTTGCAATGGCCCATTCAGCAATATTCCATCTACATGGAGGCATCCTTTAGGACACACAGGCATACACACACACACACATACACACACATAAGTACACATGTATGCATGCATAACACAGATCACAAACTCAAAAAAGTCATAATAATATTTGATAAATAAAGCAGCAAAGATACCTGAGATATTTCTGGAAAGTTCTAACAATGTCATTTCTAATACCTCCAAACATTAACTGATGAGCATAGCAAACATAATAAATAAATAACTTGTATTTATTCATTTCATGCCATCCATCTACTGGCTATAAAATGTTTGGTGTTCTGAACAAACATGTGCATGTTCCCTCAACAACATTGATGCAGTCAGGAATGACATTGGTGTAAATTGTCCAGCCATTATTAGTTTCCATTTAGAACTACCCATTTACATTCATACTTTGAGACACAGAAATATATTCTGGTCGAACTGCTCCAATCACTCAAACCAAGGAATCTAAAGCCTCCATAAGATGATATGAAACATCTACTGACCTAACTTCATTGTTTTATTAGAATGATCACCTGACTTACTTAATCAGCTGAATAGAATGCTCAATTAAAATTTTAATTAAATCAGTTTCAGGTGGATTTTCTCCAGATTTTCAGGGAGACAGAGTAAAAGATTTAATTGTATTAAGTGAGTGAGTGAGTTTAATTGTACACCACTTTTAGCAATATTCCAGCAATATCACGACAGGGGACACCAGAAATGGGCTTCACACATTGTACCCATGTGGAATCGAACCCGGTTTTCCGCGTGACGAGCGAGCACTTTAACCACTAGGCTCCCCCACTGCCCCAATTGTATTAAGACTGTGGTTCCACAAACAATATTCTTTTATATGATTCATGTTGATTTTTAAGACTAGGAAAACTTTACAAATACACAGACTTGCTGACACATCACTCTTCGTTTACAAGGTCGCGGTCGCTTAGCACACACCGGGTTCGATACCCGACATGCGTCATACCAAAAGACGTTACAATATGGTACTTGTTGGTTCCTGCCTGGCGCTCGGCATTAATGGGTACAACAAGGACTGGTCGGCTCGGAGTCAGTATAATGTGTCTGAGTGGGGTATTCATGCTTCACTGCGGCTTGGTATCTCAGTGGGCTAGCACTATAAAACGAGCTTCAGTCTGGGCTAGTACAAGCAGCCGCACATACACATACACACGCATACACGTCGTCATATGAGCGAAATATTCTCCAGCGCGACGTTAAACCCAATTTCACCTCACCTCGTTTACAGTCGCTTAGCACAAACCAAGTTAATAACCAAATATGGATAATAACTGTGATTTCTCATGAAAATACATTACTTACGCATTTTATTCACAATTTCTGAGCATTCTAGGCCTATCTGCATTGGCTATGACTACAAAATATTTGTTAGGTACTGACCAAAACCTACTACATATTTGTCACCGGGACAAAACAAATACTGTTTGAGATATCTTTCACTTGCATTAGCTCAAACTCTCAAGATACTGGATGATTAATTATAAGGCTGGAATCAATTGATTGTCAGAATGACAAATTAATAACTTGCTTGAAATTTCTTTTAAGTGGCCATGCTCCACGACAGTGGGAAAATGTCTGGTCTGATTTCTGTGCTAACATTGATATTGCCAGGTAGACAGACACCAACCTTCTGATGGTCACAGTGCAGAGAGGACGAATATGCCACTGGAAATAGTTTTACACATTTTCAGATATTCTCAATGAAAGTTTCAACATTTCATGATGTAAGTTTACCTAAATGAGTAGACTTGTTCAAAGTGAAACAGGTGAGAACACATGACTGGACCGTGTAAGATGTGACGAAGTGACAGAAGTACTCGGCTTGCTGCAAGGAGCTCTGGCTTGGAGAGTGATTAATTTCACATGACAAATATATATTCATTTCGTAATCTTGGCATTGATAAAGACTGACTTCTAATCTAATCAACCTGCAAATTAACATTTTAGGACTCATCTGAAAAAAAACCCTGACCTATTAAAAGCCAGTTTACTCTGAGCACGCTTATGTTGTTGGTTTTGCTGTGTGTAGTTCTAATCTTTTGGTTGGAGAATTGAATCAGGCATGAACAAAGACGCCTGACTGAAATTATTTTGAACATGATTTAAAACCAACGAGAACCATTGACATACTGTACATGCCCTTCTTTCAGTGTCGGATACGAAAGACAGAAAGTAGCCATTCTGTAAGCAGGTTTGTGTCAATCCTTGAACAAAGTTTCATGCATTAAAGTCTCAAGATCCCTTGAATGAAGTTTCAAGTTCTACACATTGAAGTCACCAGTTTCATAAACTGAAATCTCAAGCTGTTTGCAGTGACCGTATATTGAGGTCTGAAGTTTCATGCATTGAAGTCTCAATTTTCATATATTGAAGTCTTGAGTTTCATACATTGAAGTCTTGTGCTGCATACACTGGGGCCTGAAGTTTCATGCATTCATGTCTGAAGTTTCATACATTGAAGTCTGAAGTTTCATACATTGAAGTCTGAAGTTTCCTACATTGAAGTCTGAAGTTTCATATATTGAAGCCTGAAGTTTCATGCATTGAAGTCTCCATTTTCATACATTGAAGTCCCAGATTCGGATCTTGTGGTCATAGGAAGCACTGGCAATTCTCAGTTCATCAAAACGTATACAGTTAACCTGCTCTGAGTGGCCAGCAAAGGTCTGAATGCTCTCCTCTCTGGAAAACATAAATCGTTCAAATCACACTTTTGTGACAAATAAACTGCTCAAAGAAGCTGAAATTTTGGGGGTGTTCTTTTAAAAGTTCTTTTGAATAGTTATCTTCACACATTAACCAAAATGTTCTCTGGCTTGGGAAAAATTACCTGTAGATGACATTTTCTCATAGTGTAACATAGTGTGCCAACAAAACGTTTACACGAAGCTTACACCATGAATGTGGATGGTTTCAAGATCAAATGTTTGGTCCTATTGCATAATGAAAGCTATAAATATGGATGCTTTATGTTGAATATTGACAAACTTTATGGATAACAACTTCTTTTATTTCATGAGTTCAACATTTCAATAAAGTGTCAGAAGTTTTAGATCAGAACTGACATTATGTTCATTCATTGAGTCAAACAAATGGTTTTCCCCATCACAGCAACACCGCTAGACTTACTTGTTGACATCCCAGTATTTAAGGAGGCCATCTTTCCCAGCGCTGACGATCATCCCCTCAAATGTTTCCGACTCAGCTATCCTCAACTCGACACTTTCCACTCTGAAAATACATTTGTATTACAAATCATTCATTGCCAACCCATTTCAGTTAGTTCATTATATGGGGCGGTGGGGTAGCCTAGTGGTTAAAGCGTTGGCTCGTCACGCCGAAGACCTGGGTTTGATTCCCCACATGGGTACAATGTCTTAAGCCCATTTCTGGAGTCCCCCGCCGTGATATTGCTGGAATATTGCTAAAAGCGACGTAAAACTAAACTCAGTCAGTCAGTAGTTCATTATACAGTTACCAGAGTTATGTCAACTTCACACAGAAGCCAAAGAGCTGTAACAACTTAGGGATAATCTGTCCCTCGTGAATAAACTGTGATACTCTCAATACATTTGAAATTACTCATTCACTCCTAAATAACAAATATTCTACAATTTAAAGTTTTGCAAAGTTTACTTTACATATTACTCATTGATATTTTAAGAGAGAAAACAAAGAAAATGCGTATGAAATTTCCACTCTGCAGGTAACTTGACTCCAGACAGCCTGTTGTCATGGTGATGTAATGTCATCAGATTGTGACATCACGAACAATGGATGATGTCATATCATTGTTTTCTCAACAATGAAGCACTATGATATCATATTGCTTCAGCTGACCAATCCACATTAAGTAAAATTGGGAAAAGCTTAAACTGTTGCATGAAATGTTCCGTTGTTTTTGTCCCCAAAATCGGATAAAAAGCATGTACATCAAACAAATGACAAAATATCTGACCTTTTGCGATGTTCCTGGAAGGTCCTGATGAGTTTCGTGTCCTTGACCCTGTACAGACAGATTGTCTCCCCATAGGAGCAGGCCAGGTATCCGTTGCTGAAGCTGACGGACATGATGGAGGTAGTCTGACTAATCCATATCACCTTCTTACACTTGCTGGACTCACAGTCCCACAGTCGGACGCTCTGTACAACACAGGTATAACACCTTCATGATGGTGTGCAAAGATTCCAGTCATAGTATTTCAATTTTCAGATGCTACTGAGCATTCAAAATGGTGAGTATTTTTGGAGGGAGTGTTCACTAGGGGCATCATTCAATAGGTAGAGTATTTGATGAGGTGAGGTGAAATTGGGTTTAACGTCGTGCTTGAGAATATTTCGCTCATATGACGACATGCATGCGTGTGTATGTGTATGTGCGGCTGCTTGTACTAGCCCAGACTGAAGCTGGATTTATAGTGCTAGCCCACTGAGATACCATGCCGCAGTGAAGCATGAATACCCCACTCAGACACATTATACTGACTCCGAGCCGACCAGTCCTTGTTGTACCCATTAATGCCGAGCGCCAGGCAGGGACCAACAAGTACCATATTTTAACGTCTTTTGGTTTGACGCGGTCGGGGATCGAACCCGCGACCTTCCGCTCTCCGGGCGGACGCTCTAACCACTACACCACGGAGGCGGTCATAGAGTATTTGATAGGGGAGAAGTCAATAAGGAGTATTCTATAAGGAAAGTTTTCAAAAGGCATATGTTCAAAGAGGGGTGTATTTGATGGGGGAGTGTACAAAAGGGGATTATTCATTAGAGGGGCACATTAGATAGGAGAGAGTGGAACAGGGGGAATATTTGAATGGGGATTAGTTTGGTTCAATATTTATCACATCAACCTTGATTTTGCTATAATTATAATCTCCACCCCAAAAAAAATACTGCATAGGTAATATCAATATAAGAAATATTTTTTAAAATTAGTGTTTGATTGTTATAATTTTGCCTTTATAATGCTCGTTTTTGTACATGGTACAAATGCACAGTGCAAAAAAACACATCTTTGGATACCTAAATGCACGTTTACATTCAGAAGTGTCAACTTGCATGAAAATGTCGTGGAGAAAAAGTGGTTATCAATGCTGATCCAGAATTAAATGTCTTATCTCCCTTTAAAGTTAGCAGATTAAATTCATGAACATACACCTACCGGGTATGCGTTTCTTTTTAGGGAGAGTATGTATGAAATATGCTTACCCTGTCTGCTGAGCCTGTGACTATTATGTCTCCGTCTTCCGTCATATCGACAGCGAACACAGCAGCGTGATGGCCACTGAGCGTGTGCAACAGGAGGCAACGGCCAATATCCCAAACTTTTGCCTGGATGCAAGTAACAATTGGCACAATGAAAATTGTCATTTTGACACAAATAAAAATAATTTTTTTAAATATGTTCACATATCTATAACAAATTGATAATTGTTTTTACCTGCAAAGCAGCTGATATTCGACCTCAAGTCACCATCATATGTCAGCATAAATTTCTAAGTGTAAATATAGTTATAAGTGATGTCAATGCTTAGTCAAGGTGACTCATATTCCTCTGATAGCAGGGCCCAAAAAGTGAAAGGGTTAAATTTACATTACAGTATACCTTTGAAAATATAACAAATATTGAAATCCATCGTTTTGAATAGAACAAACAAATTCTGACTTTGCCTGTCAAGATCACGTTGTTTCAAATCTACCTACATAGTTCCATGTTTATCCCTAAAAAATGTTCAGTTTACGGTCACTTAAAAAATTGCCAACATCTCATCTGGCATCGTGAAATTGGCATTTCAGTTTGCCATTTCATCAGATACACACTATAACTTTTACAAGTTTTTCTGGTTTCCAAAGGACAATTATGACTTTGCATCATTTATTTTTGAAATGCAAAATCTAGAAATCGGTCAAGCTTTAGACTAGTGTTGTCATTCTCACCGTCTTATCTTGTGAAGTTGTCACCAACTTGCTTCCCCTCCTCACCATCGCCCACACAGGACCCTCATGGCCCAGCAATGTCCGAGTGGTGCCGCCACTTCTCAAATTCCAGATCTTAAAATGAAAGACATACAATTAACTATTTCAGTTCAACAATTTATAATTTCAGTATACTTTATTCAGTCATACTATGATACAACCTCAAATCTTGAAGTTTACATTTACATATTAAAGAGTTATCTCCCTTGACACATTTTCAGCTCATTCTACAGTCTGTTTGATTTCATTTGAGACTAATGAATTGCTGACTAACACTAAATCTAATAATGGCAACAAAACCAAATTTTGAACAGTCACATCAGACGACTGATAGTAGCATAAAGAATCATACTTAACTGTCGCTGTAATGGATTTCCCGAAACATAATTAAATAATGAGCCAAATCCAATCGCCGAATTAGCGAAAACAGCAATGTGTGTTGTGGCCGCCATGGAAATTGGTCACATGTTCTATTTCGACCAATCGTAGTGACAGATGGTTTGATACAAAACAGATTACCATGAAACGACTCGGAAAGAAATAATACAGCAGTATTTTATTTATTCATTAAGATTTTATTTACCAGTATTTTGTTGTCACTTTTTGCTTCTTTTTAAGAGTGGGGCCACATGCTGGTAGAACAGCCAGGTAATCAACAAGCACGTGTAGTGAAATTTCAATTTCACACGTGCAACTCGCACACCTGGCTGTGTAGAAGATTTTTTACATTTTGTGTGAGTGAGCAATTCATCGGTCTCATATGAATTCAAATAGACTTTACATTTAAGACACTTTTGAATATTGAACCAAAGACTACAATGGTACATTCTGAATTGTAAACCAAAAGTCGCTGTGTTCTTTGATCTGATTGGTTGAAAAACATGATCAAATGGTATTCGATTCCCCCGGAAATTCGCTGCGTATTAATACATACAAACATCACTCACACCATTGTATTGTTACGTCGTCAGCTGTGATGACGTCATTAAAATCATATTGTGACGTAAAGTCCGAATGACGTCACAAATGAACAGTTCCAGATGCTACAATGGGAGACAGCCAAAACGGCCGGCTGATGACATTTCACTGCTGTACCCGTACTCGGTGTCAATGAGTGCAGACACAAAAACGTGTGTAGACCTTTTGGTTTTCTTTTGTGTTTACAATGTCGATAAACATCATGTGTTGGCCAATTTCCGGGTTTTATTGAGTATTTGAAGCACGGGAATATTTCATTTGAAAACTCCGGCTGACGCCGTCGGTTCCAAATGAATTCCCGTGCTTCAAATACTCAATAACACCCGGAAATTGGCCAACACATGATGTTTATCTCCCTAATTCACTTATTGAACCTATTGAAGCTCACAGCTAGGTGAGCTAAGGATTATTATCAGCCCCTTGACACCAACCCACCCTTATTGTTGAGTCGTACGAGCCGCTGATGAGTAGGTGCTTGGTGTAGAAGTTGAGGCACCAGACTCCGCGAGTGTGTCCCTTCAGCGTCTGTAACAACTCCCCCGACTTGATGTCCCACAACTTGATCGTCTGGTCCATGCTCCCACTAGCAAGGCGTGTCTCATCAAAGGTCACCGATAGCACACTGAAAGTAATGAGTTAGTGAGTGAATATGGTTCTACACCAGCCAGTATCATTACATCACTGCAGCCTGTTGGTTAGCCTACTGAGTCGTGACCAGATGAAACCATGGCTGACTGTGTGAACAGAAATTCAGTGAGTGAGTGAGTGAGTTTGGTTTTATGCTGCTTTCAGCAATATTCCGGCAATATCACGGCAGGGGACACCAGAAATATGCTTCACATATTGTACCCATGTGGGGAATCAAACCCGGGTCTTTGGTGTGACGAGCGAACACTTTAACCACTAGGCTACCCAACCGCCACGAGCAGAAATTCAATCACTGGGAGTAAATGAGTTTGACAAAACACTGCTTTGAACATGTAATGATTTTATATGATTGGAATCAGACATTGGATTTCACCTTCAGCAGAGACTTCTTTTGATTACCGAAATGATTTGGAGATGGCAATATGAAAGGTAAAACTCACTGACGTATTGTTTGAAAGAGTGAATGTTGTTTTTTGCCATAGTCAGCAGTATTCCAGCTATATTACCGGGATTTGTTATTGAGTTGGGACCGGACAGACCAGTGATTGATAGAAAGAGCACTGAGTAACTGCATGATACCATACATTTGTTTATGGCATACACTAACAAATATTTTCAAAAGTAATTTAAAAAATGGATTTTGTTTTGAGCCTAACAGATATGAAAGGTGTAAGGAAAAAATATCACATCACATTTTTACAAACATGGCTGATAACATAAGGAAAATAGTTATTCTCTCCTCTGCAATTACATGACCAAACAAAAGAATTAAAAATGCACAGTTTGGGCGAGATCACTCCTTTACATGAACAGATATAGGACAATAATTGTTTTTAAATGATGATGATGATGATGATGATGATGATGATGATGATGATGATGAAGATGAAGATGAAGATGAAGATGATGATGATGATGATGTGGAGGATGAGGAAGAGGATCTTACCTCTCTGTGTGTCCTTGGAGATCTACTTTTCGGCAGACACCATTGTTCCAGTTCAGACGAAGATACATGTTGTCGCGAAACAGTTTCTTCCATATTGGTGCACTGTTGACCCTGACCTCCATCTTGACCTCATTGCACTTTGACCTCCAGAGCTCATTATTGTTGGCGAGACAGTGCCATGTCTTGTTAACCTAATTCAGATATATTTGGATGAATCTACAGGCAATTAACTGGGTGAATAGGGTAAGATGTATGCAACTCGAATAGTTTCTCAGAAAAAGGTCATGGCAAGGTTGACCAAGATATTGATGGTCCTTCCTTCACCAGGATCAGGATCTGCTATTCATTGGTTCAAAGTCTCACATTTTCCTCAGTCATATTCCCCAGTGTGTGAGCGCCATATCCAATCTAGTCATGAAGTTTCTGAAGTTTCTCAATATCTCCCCTAACATTCCAGTAGCTAAATGGCCAAGAATATGGCCCCTGCAAATTCTCCCTTAAGGAGTTAGTGAGTTTAGTTCTACGCCATTTTTATCAGTATTCCACAAGAAATGGGCTTCACACATTGTACCCACATGGGAAATTGAACCCGGGTCTTCGGCAATGACGAGCGAATGCTTAATGGCTACCCAAAGAATCAACAGGCAAAGAATGGTAACCACTTTCAAATATTAGCAAATTCTTTGTAACAAATTCTTTGTATTTTGAAATTGGCTGATTGGTGTGCAGAGTAGATGGTCACAACTGCATGAGAAATACTGCTGACTGAGCACTGTAATCGATCTGAGCACCTGATGATTTCCCTACCAGTGCAACCAGTCATGATTCAATGGTTCATGATTCAAGTGTCTGTATTTACAGGTGATGCATAAATGAAGTGACTATAACCTGTGAGGTACCAACAATGACAACTGACCAGCAACAGACTTCGTGAAATCCTGCCGCCACTTACCCTGGAGGCTTGCAGGAGTTCTGCAGGGGACAGGTAACTGAGGATCTTCAAGGCCAGGTGTTCTGGCAGCAGGGCCAGGAAGTCACGGTGCTGCTTGATCTGAGGGAGGGGGAATTGTCAAAATATTTCCAAAATATATCAAAAATAGTACCAGCGATATATTGATTTCATTAACAACCTCATTTTAAGTTTCCAACCCATTTGAAATTATCATTTCTTTTACAGTTTCTTTGTATGATGGTTTGAAGTGATGACAGTATTAATTATATTTTTTTTAAAATAAGGTGAGGTGAAATTGGGTTTAACGTCGTGCTTGAGAATATTTTGCTCATATGACGACGTGCATGCGTGTGTATGTGTAGGTGCGGCTGCTTGTACTAGCCCAGACTGAAGCCGGTTTTGTAGTGCTAGCCCACTGAGATACCATGCCGCAGTGAAGCATGAATACCCCACTCAGATACATTATACTGACTCTGACCCGACCAGTCCTTGTTGTATCCATTAATGCCGAGCGTCAGGCAGGGACCAACAAGTACCATATTTTAATGTCTTTTGGTATGACGCGGTCGGGGATCCAACCCGCGACCTTCCGCTCTCCGGGCAGACGCTCTAACCACTACACCACACAACAAAAAGGGACTGCTCAAATTATGTGATGAAGGAAAAGTTGACATTAACATCCACAATGACTACCATGTGCTATTAAATCAGAGGTTTGAAAAGTTGCTGATACAGCAGAATATCTTTGATAAGCAGGTGCTTGATGATTCTGAGATAACAAAATATATTCTGTACTTACAGTGAGGAAGTTTGAAATGAAGTAATGCTGTCTTGGGTCCAATTTCAACAACAGTTTGTGGAAGAATTCATTTTTCCTAGTATCTGAAAAGGAAAGTAGTTTTACATTTTGTAGTCGCAATGCCTTTATAGACAAAATGTATTCTTGTATTCAGTGCAATAATAGACATTTTCCTTTTCCAGAGTGTGTTTTTAGTTTCAATTTTTATAACATCCTCAGAATATGCGAACTCTATTTCCTAAAATATATCAACAGCGTGACATTGAAAGGTGTACTTACTGTTCCATACATCTGTGTACCAGTACATCAACTGCTGGGCGTCCGGAGACAACTGACAGGGTGGTAGGGAGACTCTCTGCAACAAACATACACGTCAGGCTTACATAGGAGAGACTGTAGTCTCTCAACCACATTATTTTCCATACTGCCTCGCCCTCCCTGCAATACTAAAGCCCTAGATGAAGCAAGTCCCGATTTCCTCAGGTTCTGAATCTACCATCTCACTGGGGCTCCTTTTCAATTTAAATGGAATTATTTGTTACTTTCAAAATTATATATATTCAGAGACTAAGCGAGGACATCCCATTATAGGTCATATTGTAACGACTTGGCACAATATGAGTATGGTTTTACGCCACTTTTAGCAATATTCCAGCAATATTGCGGCGGGGAACACCAGCAATGGGCTTCACACATTGTACCTATGTACATGTGGGGAAGTAAACCTGGGTCTTCGGCGTGACGAGAGGATGCTTTAATCCCATCGCCCCACTTGGCACAATAAATCAGAGGATCATTTACAAGACTGGGCAAGTGCAGGTCCAAATGTGTTTTTTTATCATGTAACCTGATTACGATAAACACAGGGCATTCTAAATTATGGTTGATTATTTCAAACATCTACTGAACATCTCATGCAAACATCAGAAAATCACAAACAACATGTCAACCAATTTTTTAAATGTAGCTACATATACAGAGTAGTGCAAAAGGTATTCGGCAAATTGACAAATTCAGTCTTTATGACAAATCTACGCTGATATTTGGATGACTGTATCTCCGCTTCCAGCTTACGCATCCGTATGCAAACACGCATATAAAATATATTAGTATGTCACGTGCTAGTCACGTGAGTTATGTTAACGTCTGCTATGAATACTTCCGGTTTATCTGATGCAGACGACATGGGTCGAAAAAGTGCTGACTTGTCGCCCGGTGTTAAGAATACAGCTGTAAGGTTGCATCAGGTCGGCAATTCTAACAGTTAAATCAGTAGAATATTAGAGAAACCACGTAGTATGATAAACAATGTGATTAAGAAGTTTGTAACAAAGGGTTCGATGGAGAACAAACCACGAAGTAGAAGGGCAAAAATCGTGAGTGATCGTGATTACCGTGTGTTAGAGAAACTTGTGAAACTTAATAGACGGGACACTCTGGGTGAAATATCTTCAAAATTCAATGAAAACAGGCAAGTTTATAAATCCTATCAGCAAATGAACAATTGAGTATCAACTACATTCACATGGCTTCAAACATCGGGTTTCAAAGAAGAAAGTTGTGGTTTGAGGGATCAATCATAAAAAGCGAATTGCATGTTGTCGTGAAAAGAGAAGGTGGACAGTGAATGAACAGTGGAACAAAATAATATTTTCTGATGAAAGTCAAATTGTTATTGGACAGGATAAACATGTATACATGTGGAGGCAGACTGGAGAGGGATGGTGACCTGATTTAGTGTGTCCAAAAACCAACAGAAAATATCAGGTTATGATATGGGGTTGTATTTGCTGGAATAGCATGGGGACATTAACGGCTGTAGATGGTCATATATATGCCAACAAGTACCAAGACATCCTAGAAAATAATTTATGGCCGGTTATTGCAAGACATTTCCCAAACGATGGGTATTTATTCCAAGATGACAATGCCCCAGTGCATCTTGAGCAGGTCATCAATGACTACAAAGAAAATAATCAAATCAGATGCATGAGCTGGCCAGCTCAATCACCTGACATTAATGTGATCGAAAATGTTTGGTTATAAATCAAAAGAAAGGTTCAGTCTCGAGTTCATTTGATCACATGAATGTTGAACTGTTCATGGAAATTCAGCGAATTTGGGAGACTATCCCACCTGAATATATTCAGTCCCTGTAAAACTGTCTCTATCCCAAGACGTGTGATGAAAGTAATTCATCTCAAAGGACACCTTCACACAATAATAAGTAAGTATACTTACCTTTTTGTGATATTTTATTTGAAAATTACCAATGCGAGAACGGAGATCACAACGTACTGAAAACTGACCCGATACCGCAGCGGCCATTTTGCTGAATACTTTTTGCACTACTCTGTAGCTACAAATTTAATACATCAAACACCACATGCCACACAGCAACCAGCTTCATGTAATCAGATACTTCATGTCTAATCAGATGCCACACAGCAACCAGCTTCATGTAATCAGATACTACAGTGGGTGGGAAGGTGTGGTGCATAAGGAATTGGTCTGAATACCAACTATAAACTGTCCTGTGCGTCAGTCGACAAAGCCTTAAGGGTTCGTGCATACTTACTGTCTTAGGTTCATGTTTAATGGTTCTTGATTTGTCCTTCACATATGAAAGTTTCAGCTACAAGAGACAAAAGGGTATATTCCTTGATTTCAGCATAAGAATAATTTAAGGGGAAATCTAAGACCTTACTTACATATGTTACAGTAAAATAGGTATAGAGATATGAAGAATGAAAAGAAGATCAAATAGAGTGAGTGAGTGAGTTTAGTTTTTGGCCCATTATTCCAACAATATCACAGCAGGGGACACCGGGAAATGGGCTTCACACACTGTGCATCTATCTTAATTCTGTTTCTTATATACAATCAGAAATAAAAATCACTATATGAGTCATAACAGAACCATACACCAAGAATATTTACAATAATTGAAACATAAATTTAAAACCTCACTTGCCATTAATGACAGTAACCATAGATATTCTACACAGCTGTCTCGGGAATGACACAGTTATTAAATGTGAAAGAGTGAGTGGGTATGTGTTTTAGCTGCTTTCAGTAATATTCCAGCAATATCATGGTGGGGGATTACCAGAAATGGGCTTCACACATTGTACCCATGTGGGGAATCAAACCTGGGTCTTCGGTGTTACGAGCGAACACTTTACCCACTAGTCAACCCCACTGCCCCAGATCAAATAGAAATGCATATGTGTGTGTGTAGCTGCTTGTGAGATGACTGTGGACGGTGTTAAAGTGCTGATCCACTGAGATACCATGCCACATTTTAACATAGATACCCCAATCGATCATATCTTTCTGACACCGAGAACTTTGTGCTGAGCACCAGGCAGAGTGACAACAAGTACCACCTATTAAGGTCATCTGGTCTGGAACACAATCCAGTCCCTCCTGGATTCCACGACGAATTTTTAAGAATTCCGCAGCAAATTTAAGTAAATTTTCATCCCATTTTGCAAAATTCTGCAAAATATTCGGCAGTTAAAAACACAAAATAATGCAATTACAGTCTTCAAATAGATTGATTTTGTGAACATAATTGCAGTGTCAAATTCAATAAATATTATTGTAAGGTGTGCTGAAGAAAATATTACCTTATGAATAAATCATCTTTATTCATGAATATTTTGAAAATATCATTATAACAAATGTCTCAGTTCGTTTTTGTGTAACCAATCATACTTTTGACATTTACCCCTACTTTTCGTTTCGGTTGATAGTCAATCTTGATTCAACTTTCAAAATAAGTAAATTCTGTGGCAGAAAAATGGCAAATTCTGCAGGTATTCTGCATGAAAATGTGGTTTCCACAGACCAGACGTTTTTCTGCATCAAAAGTTAATTTCTACGATTCATTGTGCAACCGCGGAATCGCGGAATCCAGGAGGGACTGATAATCAATACAAATCTTAGCTTTAACCATGACCAGCAAACCCTAGGAGGTATGCCTTGTCTACTGTGCCATCTGCAGTATAACACAAGTTAAGAGGCGCTATACTGGTCTGCCTACACAGTTCCCAAGACTCTCCACAGACACGTGATGGTCACTTCCCACACACAACAGTCTCTGTAGCTCACCTTCCTCTTCTTCCTGGGTCCAGCAACTGCGGTGGAAAGAAGCTGTGAGTCGGTGCTGGAGTTGCCAGTGTTGGTGGAGTCTGAGGTCAGGGAGGATCTGACATTGTTGCCAACACGAGGCGAGGTCTCGTCCTGCATGTGGCGCCTCACCGGCATCTCCACAAACCTGACATGTACACACAATACTGTTAAGAAAGTGGTAAAATGTAATACAGTAAAACACAGATAAAACGAACTCCAAGGGACCAAGAAATTTAGTTCGCTATACCCGTTGTTCGTTATTCACATTTGACCGCCATCTTGGATTGTAGAGATGTAGACATTCACAGACATTACCTATATCATGTTGATAAATATGAAGTTTATTTTTTTAATAAAATTGAAATAATACAACTACAACTTAAATAAATTTATTTTATAACGAAAGATGCAAAAACTGTAGCGATTTTTTTTTTTTTCCTACATGTCATAACATGCCCGTGCCTTTTTCTTTTATATTTTCATTTTTATGTAATCAGGCTTTCCGTTCGTTAACATGACACAACAACGGGAAAAAAATGTATGTTATATTTGTCATTGCACTTTTTCAGTAAAGTTCAGACCGACTCAAACGGGGTCCTCAGTCTGACAAGCAAAAGCTTTTACCACTAGGCCACCCAATGACAATGTTTTACTTAAGAATCACTCCAGAAAAATTAGAAAATAGGGAAAAACAAGTGTGTGTCTGAATATATGAGAAGGAATCATTGTAATTAAACAATGGGAACTGGGAAGCTGCCTTTCAATGCCCATAAAGGATATTTGTCACACATTCTTGTTCATAGAGAGAAACATTTGTCGGTGATCCTCCCCTGTGAGCCCCCTACCTGAGGAGTGTGTCGACATGTTGCGGAGGCTGCTGCGTGTCGGTACTGATGCTGCTGGTGCTGCCCCACTTCACCACCGCAGCCTGGTGTCCCTGCGGCAACTTGGCCAACACTGACTTGGACGTCAACTTGAGAAGACTCGGGGCTGACTTATTCACGGGTTCAGATCTAAAACACGTAGGAGAATATATGTTTTGTGGCTGGTATTGAGTATTGTGGATTCTCAGATGTCATTCAGCAATGTTTTTCAACTCTCATTAAAATCAAATCTTAGTTGTCACCATCTCTAAACCAAGATCTGAGGACATTCCTTCCCATCAGAATGACTGTCAGCGACTGACAAGAATATTAGCCAGTCATTTTTCTTTCAAACTGACAATTTCCATTCCAGACTATACCTCAACAAATATTTTGACAAAGGTCTTGATTCATAATTTGAAAATTGCCTAATAGATGAACATGTGTAATCGTCTTTTCGAATATGTCATGTTAATGTTTTTCGTGGTTGTATGATGAGAAAATGCAATCTGACTGTATCTTTTCTTTTCCTGGTAAGCAATGCTCTGAGAAGTTCTTAAAATATTTCCTTAACAACAATAATAATATATATTCATGAGTAAATTAATAACTCACATTATAAGATGCCTAGCGGTTAGAACAATCGAAAAAACACAACATTATCAGACAATAAAGGTATAGTTTTTTGATGACGTAACAACTGAATGACATTATCTTGTCACTGCACCATTCTAGTGCACCATTCTAATCGAACCGTTTGCATGTCAGTTGTCATCGCCTCGTACGGCCTCCTACAGTAAACTGCTCCATTGCATCCCCTTTCTTGGTTTGCAGTTGCTTCACGCAGCTAACATCACTGGTGGAAACATTACGTTTATGTTTTATGACGGTTAAAATGTGTCAATTCGACTCACAAGTTTTCAGTGACACGGTAACGTTCGCAATGTTTACATTCCCACAATGCAATCGTGGAATGTCGCTTGACTACTCAGCTTCATCTGGATGTACTGATCTAAACTTACGTTGGTAGTAGAAATGCGACGTTCATATTGCCCCATATGGTTTACGTTAATGACAGATGTACTGGGTAATTAAAATAATTCAGAGAAGATATTTAATCCGAACGTAAACCGTCATCAAACTGTTATCATTGTTTTTTTCTAGTAACATTCGTCTTAACGTAGGGGGGCAGACACATCAATAGAACAGCGCGCCAATTAGCCCTGTGCGAGGATTCTTAATTTAGGTCACCCACACCATTGTTTGTTTTCTGCCTTAAATTAATCGTAAGTATCCTTAGAAAGTACTAAATTTGGCATCTTAGAAAAGAAATACAGTTCGCTCTACCACCATGTATAGTGTAATAAAGCACACTTTCGCCCTGAACTATTATAACATTAAAGCACTCGGACACAAGCGTCCTTGTACTTTAGCTATAATAGTTCAGGGCGAAAGTGTGTTTTATTACACTATACAGTATTGGTGGTAGAGCGAACTGTATTTCTTAAATAGAGAAATAGAGAAAAAATACATTTTCTAATATTATCTGTCATTTTTCAATAAACAAATTACCTTCTGAGATACAAAGTTTATTTGTCTTCGATGAAGATTCACACAATAACAATCATTAAATTCTTTCAATAATTGTTCCGCATTTAGTGATAATTTCTTCATTAAGACTTGTTCTCTTGAATATATAAAATAAAATATTTATAATGCATATCTTGAAATGTTTATTCTTAAAATACTTTATAACAAGAAAAAACATAATATAATTTAATAAAAAGATTAAAAGAAGCTTTTTAGGTCTGTGTATGCCTATTCTTGCAGCGCTATGATCGTAATGTTCAGCATTCCACAGTTTCACTCAGCCCTGTAAACCATGCTCCACTACACCAGAACAGTCTTCAGCTTGGGTAACACCAAACTGACATTAGCATGCATACAGCTTTATGAATATTCATTAAGCATTACCCATCAGCCATGAATAATACAAGGTAAAGTAAACAAAACAACAATGCCTGAGTGAAACGTCTTCAGATTTCTAAGTAAATTCACATGTTAATATAACCATTTGTCTAAAAGATCTTATAACTTAAGGCAATTTCAGTGTAATGATTTCCAATAAATATTTATGGGGAATCCGATATTTGATGGGATAGGTAGATATATTCAGGACAATACACTGATCCTTTGTGCTGAAAACATATTGGACCACATGAATACAGTCCAATCAAGCAGTGGTAGCCATGGAATGCTAAAAAGTAGATAGGAAGTATATTTTATAAAATTATGGTCAATTATGATATGATAAAAATCCAGTTATTCTAATTCTAAAACTTGACACATGTATGATACTACATGAATAAATTTGAAATACAGTGGAAACCGCCTAAGTAAAGACCGCTTAACTAAACAGACCTGATAAGTAAACACTTTCCTTTGGTCCCAGCAAATTTCTTCATTAATTATCACTATTAGAGTCCGGTTAACTAAACTCAGAAAAGTAAACAATACCGCTTAACTAAATGTCTTCTCACGGTCCCTGGAAGTAAATTACTTAACAAAAGAGACTGGATAACTAAATTAGTGATCACCACATAATCCGACATGAGGGGCACAGTCACCAGCTAAACAAACATCCTACTTACAGCTTGCTGGCAGCACACAGTTGACAATACACTGACAACTGGAGGCCAGCCCTGATAAGTGGTTCATTGTTACATATGCATACATATACATGCATATGGTTGTCATTTGCATGTTTTTATAAGTTTGGATAAGTAAAATACCTGATAAGTAAACAATTTTGGCGAGTCCCTTGAAATTTTACTTATCAGGTTTCCACTGTATAACAAATTATAATGAACTCAAGTAACCACTAAGGTTAGTGCAATATAACCATAGTTTGTTATATGCATTTGGACCATATTTATATTTATCATATAAAGCCAGTGGCCAGGCCCAAACACCCTAACCCCTCATTATATCCATCAGTTCGCTGTAAGCATGTTCTTTTAAACAGTTTGCTGTCATTATTTCCAATAGATATTCTCATAGTAGTATTGCTGTTACTCTGCTCTTTGTGTTTGGGCGGTGGGGTAGCCTAATGGTTAAAGTGTCGGCTCGTCATGCTGACGACCTGGGTTCGAATCCCCACATGGGAACAATGTGTGAAGCCCATTTATGGTGTCCCCCACCGTGATATTGCTGGAATATTGCTATAAGCGGCGTAAAACCCAACTCACTCACTCTTTGTGTTTGAGTGGACAGGACAGAGAGAGGAATGATATAATTACAGAATGCAATGTTCTATCTTCTAAAGGCAAGGAAGTAATAACTGCTAAATTAGGCTGGAATTTCTGAACTATATTTTACTTTGCCTAAGGAGCCTATTTATTATAGGTCCACTCAACATGTTGTTTGTAAACAACATAGGCACTGCAGTGCAGATGTCACTCAAAAACAGGATTTGCAAAGTAGTCACTGTACCTTCAACTGGGCATCAACAGATATTTACTGTTTATAAATCAATGTGTTCAAGTAACTTGATGCAAAACCTGTTTTATTGCAAGAGGGATCTTCATCATCATCAGATTGTTATGTCTAAGCACTGACATTTTGTTTGAAGCAACTACAAGTGATCTGAGAGGAGGAATCCGATTGGTCATCTAGAAGGGATATAACCTGCAATAGCCACTGGTGGAGCTACAAGCAGGACACAGGTTCCAGCCAAGCTCAGCTAGGGTCGAAATTGGAATTTAGACTGTAAAATTATTTTCCTATGAAGATTGATTATTGCCTAACCTGTACTGATGGGTGGCAAGATGGGGCAACTTAATGCAGTCTGTGTCCTTGAACTTGGCCTTCACATCGTCATCAAGCTGAAGATACGCTGACTTCACTCGGAAATAATTATTCTGTCGCAACCTTGTCACTTTTTCCTGAAATGACACAAACAAGTAAATAATGTGAAGGAAAGTGAAGTCTGGGTTGATGTGAGGGTTGAGAGAAGGATGACAGGATGGCTGGATGTTATGCCTTAGAGAGGCTTGGTTGGGCTGAAGGTAAGGTAATATGGGAGTTAGCTGGAAATGTCCAAAATGGACATGAACATGCAGTGTCGAATGGAAACACTAATGACAGAACTGGATATGGATATTTAATACATTTTGAAAATCATTTCAGAAACATTGGAAGGTGAATGTTTATTGCTCTGTTTCTTCCAGACTTTGTCTGATAATGCAATGAAGTATTTTACTGGTGCCAAAGATATACTTAAACTAGGATTACGTGACAGAAATTAACTAAATGAGTAGTATAAACCGAAGGGTTGTTTTCCTCCACCTTCAGCTCCCTGCTGGTGTGAGTGCTGACTGGCTGGAAGTCGATGTCGGGGAAGTGGCTACGGGCGGTGTACATGAAGTCGCGATGCAGCGTCGGCTGCATTACCGTGTACAGGAACTGGAACTGGCGTGTAGTTGCTCTTCCGCAGCAGAGACTCCAGCAGACAACATCGCTGCAATGACATGAACGGTACACCATAGCCATAAACATACAAAGGCTGCAATATTACTGCAAGGATTTGCACAAACTGACAAATCTAAATAATAAGGTTCAAATGGGTCTATGATATATTGAATATTACATGTCATCATATACACTGAATTACAAAATGCTATTTATTACCAAAACAGCTGAGTAGCTGATCAATTTTCAACTATTACAGTCACAACTTGCAACCATATCAGTCACTGCAACCAAAATTTTAAAAAATATTAGCAATATATTCATTAACAGGTACAAAAATAAGCACCCAAAATATGTAATCATTGTTGAGACTACCATTTATTTCATACCATTGTTTGTGAGATCAAAGGTATGTTTGTTTTGTACACAACATACAACTACCAACAACAGCAATCAGCTGATATTGACAACCAGAACAAAGAGACTCGGGTTGATTGTTACAATAGTCCACTAGTCAAAGAGCCATGCAAATAGACTCGATCACCATCACATAAAGAACTTGCTCAATTCTATATTACAGAACTCTCTTGTCACAAGTCACCCATGATGCAGAACCAGCCACACTTTCACCGATTATGGCTTTCCAATAATACATGCCTTGATTCCATTCAAGATTCACTGCCTGTGATGGATTCCACTGCCGGTGATGGATTGTTTTGATGTGATTCACTGTATAATTTTGAATTTTATTCCTCAACTCAAAACTCAGGTTACTACGTACATATATTTCTGGATGAAAGGTGTCAAGATTTATTAACTACTGAGTTATTTGTACAAGCTGGAGTTATATTTTATTGACTATGCACACAAGCTTCTCTTTGATAGCGAGCTCATTGTGGGTACTCTCAACTTGGAGTGACTAGTTCGTCAGGAAGTCAAATATTGATAGATCCCTTGAGTGTGACTCTGTATTAGACAAGTGGCAAGGTGTCGGACACCTGATATGTAATACATACAAGTCCATAAATTTTTTACATATGGCAACCACTGGCTCATTCCACGCTGTGATCTGCGATCTTAGAGCTACAGTAAAGTTTATTTTGAAGTATAGGTACTACAACAGCTCTGGTTATATGATCACCTAGATTTATTGGAGTTAAAATTCAATTTTAATTAAATTGTGTAATTTATGCTTAGTATTTTATTTTTGTATTCATTTAAAATTTTGACCAGAGACGTCCAAGTCCTTGTGACAGCAAATAGGTATATATTCCACCTAAAGTGTTCCCAATAGATAAATAATGGTATTGTCAGCAGAAAAAGAAATTCTCTAGGAAACTTTTATGACAACCAGTTGTAACCATAGCAACATAACTACCATAATCCTCGTACATTTGGTCCTCGGCAACCCATGGACACTGAAGTCAGTCCTTGTTAAGATTAGTTAATTTTGTAAACTGAAAAGATTTGACTAATTATTACAAAATGTAATCTGTGTGAAACTTTGGCATAAGTATTTGAGTTATCACTTTACACCATATATGTAATGGCTACTCAAATATCCTTTAACACATCAAGCAAAAATAAATATTGTTTCTACAGCACCAGGTGTTCAATAATTGGTTTGGACAAGAATTTGATTTTTCCTGTTTAGGCTAGACCAATTTTATTTCTTGTTTTACAGAGTTTTGTCCTCAGAAAACCTAAAGGGAAATCACCAGTCAAAGTTATATTACTTTTAAATACTAAAAGTGTTTTACTTTTGGCAATTTATAAAGTGTATATGGGGCAAAAAACAATCAAAAAATTAATTTTTTTGTAAGTTTACATTTTTGGCCAATAGAAACAATAGGATTATATTTTTTGAGCGGAGAAAATTATTTGTATTTTTTTTCTTATTCTTGAAAAAATACGACCGGCAGAACCGTAAAACAAGAAATAAAATTGGTCTGGGATTAGTATGTTAGATAACAGGTACTATTGTTATATAAGCACTATACATTCACAGGTGTAGAACAGCAATTAGCAACAAACAGTGTCAACAAAGCTGCTTGTACCTGTGCCAGAGCCCTACCTGTACAGGTAACAGGACAACTTATACAACAAGTAAGCTCATTAACCGAATTGTATTCAAGGAGCAGCAGGTATTTGCCTTCACACATACTCAGGGGAAACCACTGCATACCACTGCTGAGACGAAAATAACAAACAGTCGTAACTCTTGATATTTTAGTTCATGGTTTTTATCAATAATTAATGAGGACCAGTAGATTATGAAACAATGTCATTGTGTCACTTTAATAAATGCTGTTCTGTAGAACTGTGTATATGAACACAGAAATAGTGGTTCTGCGATTGTTATTACACAGATATTCAATATCAGGATATTGTAAAGACATGTAAAGACCAGGTGTGGGAGGTGTTCTGTACAGACTCTTGTCACTTGTTCAGTTCATTGTCATTTAGTAATCAAGCAAGGGGTCATCAATTTGATGGCCTATTGTTACACTGACATTAGAACTTAGCATGAGAGTGTCATATATTTGCATTCCTATTGTTATATTTCATTAAAGGTCACATGCAACGTAAAACACAACTTTGCAGATTCTGATACCTTTCGGTATGGACTTACCGAAACAAATCATCAAAAATGCAAATTCAACTTATAAAGTTGAAAAATAACGCGATGAAAAAACCCGCGCAAAATCGGAGTTCAAACATTTCACTAATTTTCCCCCGACTTTTCGGGGGAAAACTGGTTTCAACAGCTGGACTGCGCTCATAGCACGTGCGCAGTGAAATAGGTTCGCGCAGCTTGGAAGCGGGCTGTCCGGTGAATACTCGGTGAAGGCTTTGGTGTGAGCTATTTTCATAATGTTTTGTTGATATCTCACAGGCACGAGCTTTTTATATGTTATGACAGTAAATAAACTGTTTATATAATTTCATTTGTCTATTTCACCACACGTTCTTCTTACCGAGTCACTTTCTCAGTTCGATACTTAAAAGCAATGTCATTATTAGCGTTGACAGAATTTCTAACTGTGATATAGATATGTCGCTGTCACAGACAAAACTCAATGTCTTGTTTTATTGACACCTGTGTGTCTCCCTGCCTGTCTGCTAATGACAATATTCAATACACAACTGCGATCACTGACCACATGCAATTTGAACTTAACACCAATCAGGCTATACACAAAAACAAAACGCATTGATTTATGGCCCGAGTTCGGTCTCTGTCACATTATGTAATTACACAGACAGGCAGGTGTGATACTTGAACACATGACATGTTATGATGTCTGTTGATTGCAAAATGTTATACACAACAACAAAAATGAGCATGTATTTACAAAACCCAACATCTCTATATATACACACACAATGAGCCGTGAGGGAATCGGCAAATGAATCAGCCGTTACACTTGAGTGCACACCCACCCGCTCTGACTGGGTTCGGTATCCCGGCTGCTTCGTTTCTTGGGAAGGAAACCCAAGTACACAATATTGCACTTTTGATGTGCGATTGTACGCTTATAATTTTGTTTATATGTTTTTTTCATAACCAGCAATGTATATTATATGTCATGAATAAGTGATAATTGTGTTTTAATTATGTTTGATTTTTTGGTTGTATGTGACCTTTAAGAATTCACAAGTCGTTAAGTCATACATTCAATGGCTTTTATAGTCAAATTAGGATGATATCATTTTGAGTGTTGCAATCAACTGTTTGCAATTGTGCAAACCAAAAATGGGATTAAAAGTGAATCAATACATTAGGACAGTGTTTGGTATTTATCTTAGAGAACATTGCATAACAAATACAGTCTAAAATCAACAATACATTTTATCATATGTCACATTACTTTTTAAATCATAAGCCTGTTATAAGCCTGTATTACTATGGTATAAGCCTGTATTACTATGGTATAAGCTTATATTAGAAAAGCAAGATTTATGGGCATCAACTTCTTTATTGTGAATACACAATGTTTCGGCGCATCACCTGTTGAAGGAGCAAGCATACACTCTGAAATATCGTGTTATTCACAATAAAGAAGTTGACATCCATAAATCTTGCTTTTCTGATGCATTCAACTTCTAAATGCCCTTCAAAGATTTAAGCTTATACTGTCACCAAGCCTGACCTGAAATAGACATATACCTGTATTAAAATGTTTGCTTTGATTAAAGATGTGTCTATTTTGTTCAGTACTTGAATATATCATTCCTTTCTGGAGAGGGGCAGTGGGGTAGCCTAGTGGTTAAAGCGTTGGCTCGTCACGCCGAAGACCCGGGTTCGAATCCCCATATGGGTAACAATGTGTGAAGCCCATTTCTGGTGTCCCCGACGTGATGTTGCTGGAATATTGCTAAAAGCAGCGTAAAACCAAACTCAGTCAGTCAGTCAGTCCTTTCTGGACATACCAACCCTGACAGCCCTAATCATTTTGTATTTCTAGACACCAAGAGAGTCCTGTGGAATAAAATTAATATTGGCCTGGTACAAAAAATTACTTTCGACACACTTTTTTCCAAGTTTACTCAGATGATCAGTCAAATTGCCTCATTAAAGGCATGTTGTGAGGTATATGGCACTGGTAGAGTGATACAGTCTAATCAATACTAATCTATCACCATCACTGATCTCTGCCTCGCTACACCAGCACACACAGGAATGTACATGTGACAACAGAAAAACATGCTTTAGGACATAAAAATATAATATTTGATTTTCATCTCTGATCAACGTACTGCAAAAAAACTCAACTCACATCACTGATTGTCCTCATGAGTGAGTGAGTGAGTTTAGTTTTACAGGAATATCACATTTTCTAGGAATATCACGCTGGGTGACACCAGAAATGGGCTTCTATTCGCACATTGTTCCATGTGGGGAATCAAACACGAGTCTCCGGCATGACGAGCGAACGCTTTATCCACTAGGCTACCCCAACAGCCCCTGTCCTCATGAACTTACTGAAAAAGAACATCACTACATCTCTTTCTTGATGAAATACACCACATATACAGGCAAACAAA